CCCTCGTCTTGATCAGTAAATTTCAAATTGATTTGACAACCACTTCATGATATTTTGTTATAAGGGACTTTCATCCACATAATACCTTCCTTCGCAATACATGAGAAAAAACTGTTGATACTGTTTTTTTTCTTTTAAAACGAAAAAAGAATGTGCTGTCGTTTGCGATCATTGTCACCTTTTAACCCAGGCCCTTGCAAGATGGAATAAAACAGATGTATCGAGCTCGTTCATCACTCTGATATACCATTCACTTCATTGTTGATGGATACTCTCACAGCTCCTGTTCAATTCAATATTATAATGCCACATATCGTTCAAACTCTCGAAGGTGTTTTCGTTTAATTTGTTAACACTTGTCAAAATAAATTACATGTTAACACGTCTTAAGAAGTTTTGAAAGGGCGCGTATACTTCTTTAATCCTTTAATCCTTTAGATTTTTCAGATCAGTAAAGTTTGAAAATTTGATGTCAAAAACGTCGTTGTGTACTTAGCGAATGTATTTTTTCTCCCTATAATGAACCATAAGCAAAAAGATCATCATCTAGACTAGAACAGTAAGTACTATCTGGTATGTCTTTTCTCATCTAAACAATGTTTGCATGATTTTTTCAAAATATAAAAAACAAATTCCTTGCAGCGGAAAGTCTATCCATGCACAGTGAAAGGAATTTATCTCTCAAACTATTCCCTTGAATGCAAGCAGATCAGACTGTCGACAGCCTACGTACTATTACTGTTGATTTTGTCACGTTTCATGTTTTGTTCATTCAGGCAAAAGGAAAACTATACCGCTGGGAAAGAGTTGAGTTCTACTTCTCGGGTAATTAGTCATGGAGATGGTTGCTGTCCATACGAACTTAAATATCCCGAATATATTACCGGATACACAGAATTTCCTATTGAAATTCCAAAGGAAATATCCTGTTTGAATTGTCGGGGGGGGGGGAATGGGGGGACGCCTTCAGAAAAACAAAATATAATGGTAGCCCATTTCCCTTTTTATCATGACATATAGTCGTTACTGTCGGGATCTTAATAACTAACCGTGTCAAATTGAAAATGAAAATCTGATGGGGTTCTTGTTATTCGTCTGGTATGCTCAACCTAGAACATACATGGCGGATAGGATTCGTCTTCAACTATCTCCTAGTAGTTATGGATAAGAAGTTAGTCGAATAAATTACAAAAGAAGCGGGGAGAGAGAGGAAAGGAGCGTATACAGAAGAGAAAGTGTGTCGAATAAGTACAGGAGAAACATAGAGAGAGAGAGAGAGAGAGATAGAGCGAGAGAGAGAGATAAATGGATAGAGATAAAATGGGAGGAGTGTAGATCAGAGTAAAAAGTGAGAGACAAGAAGACAACGGATATATAAAAAAAGAAGACACTGGCTCCAAGATAACAAGCCAGAGACAATTACAAATATACAAACCACATGAACCCAATACAGACACATACAGTTATAATTATTATGTACGCAAACATTATAATGTAGATTACTATTACGTCTTTACTTCTGAACTTGCAAATATTGTTTGTAACATTTTTTGGGAAATGTTGAGGAGGTGAATCCCACTCTATAGGATCTTTAGGATATCCCAGAGGACAACTAACATGGAACAAACCGAACACTAATAGTAGGCCTATTACCTCAAAAACTATTCTCCTGGCAATTACCCCATGCTTTCCCAAGCAATTAGTGGATTTTAAGGAGTTCATTTGAGGAAGAGTATTGCACAAATTGTTATTTCTTGTTACCTGCAGTTTAGATTAGGCTACTTGGTTTTTTTATGCTATTTAAAGAGCATGCCAGTCGGAAATTAATTGAGTATTCGTCTATTTCAATAAGGTTTAGGCGATAACCTGGGGCCTATTATAGAAGAGAACATTGGGTGATATCATTGACCTTTATGAGAGCTTGGTCATGACCCACAGCGTGAATACAAGTGTTGCATGCTGGGAGATGGAGGGACCAATCAAAAAATGTCTTCATCCAGGGAGAGGTCTCTTTGCTTCAGCCGAGCAGATCCACTTTGAACTACAACAAGTTGTATATCAATCAAATTGTAGATCTTTACATAAGAAAAGTTTAGGGTCAATGAAACTATTTAAAGGTTCCTACAAAGCACATTATTTTCAAGATATAATGTGATAGAAAATAAGATGCTTTGTTGTATTAGTGTTAATTATTCAAGCGTAGTTTACTCATATCAAATTCTTGCTATTGGTCCTATCATCCTATGTATGACTAAATGGGTTTACCGTATGAGTAGAGACCCTCTGATTTGTTACACATTTTATCTGTTTATTTTAAATATGTTTATTTTGTATACTTTGTCATTTAATAATTTCAGTTATTTTTACCAGTAGACTAGATAGTCGATGTTGTTGTTGTTGTTATGAATTTTTGTCATTCGATTCAAAAGAATGTGGACGACACTTGCGTGCGGGGCTTATCTTTATATTTCCACTTTGACTTTTGTAATAATAAAACAGAGATTTTAGCGGATTTCACCTAGAACGGGTTGCATTATTATGGGCATTATTCCAAATTATAAAAAGATATCTAAGATATAAACGGCACAGGAACAAGATGATTTAAGGAAGCCATACCAGACTTTATCATTCTAAGGGTTAAGGTCAAACTATTTAGCATACCATTCAGTGTTTAGTAATGTATCAAATAGAGCATTCAAGAACGCCCGAGATAACATCCGTTAATAAAGCAAGGTACATCCCACTATTCTTTTATTGATAGTTAGCAGTGGCATATCAAGCGTGAAGGGAATACCAAATGTTATCTTTAGAGGAACAGTGCATGTACATGTTTAGATGTTTTCATGTTATGTGTATACAGCTTGACGAGGGATAAGAAAAAAAGATTCGGTCTCGTAAGTACTACGATAGAAGTGAATTGAGTGACTGTCATAAACAGGTAAAATTCATTAAGTATTTGTCTTCCGATGTAAGAATTTCCATTGAGTCGGAGCAGTTATATTGAACAAACAGCTCTTTGATTTTAAAAGCCTATGTTGTTTTAATCTTTTTAAAAGGCTGTGAGCGTTTTACTTTATCTTTTCGAAGCTCACATATACATTATATAGTAGGTAGGCATCGGGTAAGCAAATTGTCATTTACTATTTCTCTTACTCTCTATGTTTCTTATTTCTCTCACCAGTTGTCTCTTTCATTGTCTCCTTTATCTATGTTTTTACTTTTTTTTTTTGGGGGGGGGGTGGGAGGGGGGGTAAATATTAATATTTTTACAATACTTTTATCATGGCAATTATTTATATTTATCTCTGGCCCAGGCTAAATACTACTTATTGCATGGTAATTAGTTATATTTCCCCCTTATATTTGTCCATGTATACACATTTCAGTCTTGAATCTCATTGAATCCGTTTCCGTCTACATATCAATTTATTGACATTTTTCTTTGTCCGTCTCCCAATATATCACTCTCTTTATTTATTTTTCTCCCTTTTTAACGTCCCCACTGAGACCATCACGAGGATCATGATAAAAAGCTTTGACGGTTCTCGAGGGATTGATGATATCAATCCAGGTTGGGGGTCATATATTCCAAGTTCATGACCCTTTCTGATACAATGAAAGAGTAACTAGATGCTATACTACGTGACCATTAATTTCAAAGAATGCCAAGTGTAAACTAGCTTGGTTCCACAAGCATTGTACGCAAGTCAGCTCTTTTTTCGTTCATGTCGGAAAGTATAATAACTGATTGAAATATGAGACGAAATGTGAACTCGGTATTTGGCAAGGTAAAGTTATTAAAGCAAAATGAAATTGGATGAATATCATTCATCATGTGTCGGATACTATTAATAGATAGAAGACTACCGTGTTATTCAACGCTAGGTTCCATGCATTTGACGCAAATGATTTTGTTTAAATATTGAGATGGTCTAGGCTTCCTGGGCTTACTCTTCCAAGTGTCCTGATTATTAATGTCAGTCCTTCATCTACTTGTTTTTCATGTCAAAATGATGGTTCAATTTTAAACCTTATTCAAGTATAAAAGATAAAATATTTATATAATTCGTATAAGGTAACTGGGGAAGCATTTTCGCACGTTTTATAACGTCACAGGGACAGTTACATCATTTGAAGGTCATGTGGGGGGGGGGGGGGGGGAAACCCTCCTTGAACTGGTTATCTATTGTAGCTATAAATGCACATTATTGCATTGCGCTATTGGTAAATCGCTAATTGCTTTTGACGAGCATGACTGTCATCTGAAATTGTTATTTGATTGTTAATATTATAGTTGGGAATTCCTTTTATTTGGTTTACCATACGTCATTCCTCTTGACTTGTAGAACGTACTTAATCTTCTCAGGGTGGTCAATCATGACATACCTGAAGGCTTATTTTCAGATTTAATTAAAACACTACAGGTAAATCATTAGTCAATATATAGAGAGTCCTATCAAGGAGATCCTATCAACTCCTGTACCATCATCACACATATTATATTCCTGTAGGTCACACTCCCGTATCCCGCCTCCGTGTGTAAATACATTTAGATTGCTTCCGGTATTCTGCATTCTGTTTGAAGTTTCATAAATATGATCCATATGTCCTGGTCTAATTTGATGATGCGGCTTTCCTCTATACGCTTACCCCCTCCCTGGCCCAAAAGAGCTGCAATGGCAATTTGTATGATAACCTTCTGGTTAAGAGTGTTTCGGTATATGAAAGTGCAGGTGCAGGGTATAGCGAGAGGATGTGAGTATGGGGTTCGACTCAGTAACCATGGTGACGGCACGTTATCAAGATGACAGGAGTATGCATATCAAGTATGGAACCCTACTTTGATGTGTAAATAATGAGTAAATGATAGAACACAAGTTATCAACAACACGGTCATTTCAGTGTAACCATCAATTACCAGATCATGCTATACGCAATGACTTCACTTCATTTATGTTATTTGTTTTGCTAATTATTCTTTGCCTTTCTCTTCGTTACAGAAGCAGCAAATATCATCTATCACATAAAACAAAGGAAGAAATCTGAAGAGTCTTCGGATATACCATTCCATGTGGACAAAGCTACAGGAGAAGTGCGTCTATCAAGGGCGCTTACCCCAGGAGCATACACAGTCACCTTTCTTGGTTATGCCAGAGATAAGAGACAACCCAAAAACAAGGCCGTCTGCAAAGTCAAAATTCGAGTCGTCAATGTGGGTCGATTCAGGTTTATTTCAAAAAAGTTCAACGGGAGTATAGAGGAAAATAGTGTAGGTGAGATAAACGCATCTATAAAAGTACGGAATACTAAGGTTGGTCTTCCTGTCAGGTATGCCTTACGGAATGTGACCCCTGATGATGGGTCTGGGTTCTTTGGCATTAATGTCACCACCGGAAGCGTGTGGGTATTCCGAAGTTTAGACAGAGAATATCACAAGCGGTATGAACTCAATGTTGTAGCGATCTGTGGCGAAGAGCAGGATGAAGCGAATTTAATACTGTCTGTCTTAGATGTAAACGACAACCCTCCTAGATTTCCCTATGATATTCTTCGAATGTACGTGTATGAGAATGTGAATGTATCGATCTCGGGAGAGACAATAGTCAATGCTAGTGATATAGATGAAGGACAGAACGCAGTGGTGAGGTATAGGATCTTACAAGGCGCTAGAGGTATCATTAAAGTGGAACCTAGTAGCGGTCAGCTTTACAACCGATATCACATCGACTATGAACGTGTCAAGAAGTTTCGCTTGATCGTAGCTGCCTACTCTGGAACTCTCTTCACCACTGTCCGTGTATTCATTCATGTCATTGACCGCAACGACAATGCACCTGAAGTACCAAACTTTGAGGTGTTTTACAATGGTCTTCCAGATGATATTCTATCAGGTACGGAACTTGCGCGTATTCCCGCCCGTGATATCGATAGCGAAGGCAAACTCCGTTTCGTGATCCTTGGTGACGCAGCCGACCAGCAGCAGACCGATAGCCAGGTGACCGGAAAGAATGATCTATTGCAAGTGGATAGTTTAACAGGAACTCTTCGGTTCAAACCGAAGGTTCATCGCCTAGAGGTCTCCGAGGAGAATCAGGGGAGCACTGAGGTGACTGTATTTGTCAGTGGTATGTCACTGGCTCATAATTTGATTTAAATGAAATGTAGTCATACATGTAGCAGAAGAACACAAATACATTACGATAACAAAAACTTGAATACATGAAAACCTTATTTTTTTATATTTGGTGGAATAACCTGTATTAAAATTCATTCAGCTTCGTTGCTAAAATTAGAAGACGAATTTGTGTGGTTCTGCCCAATGAACATCATGATAGAATCACAATATTTAAATGAATACAGGGCTAAATCTGCGCATATAGAAGCCGTGGTAATATATACAATGTGTCGACTATTATGTCGATTATCATTGTCATTAACTCCATTATTGATAAGTATGTGCAACGGGGTGACTGTCATCAAATTATAAAAAGTTCAATTATTGAAATGTTTATACCCAAAATGTGCAGAGGTTAACCATTTTCTTATGTTTACTGTATAATCCAGAAGTGGTACATCATATCAATTGATCTCACCCCTCTTAGAGGGGTCATTAGACTGTAATGAAAGAAGTTGGAAGTGTTTCACCAAAATGTGCCGCCATGCGTGATGAAAGTTGGTTGTGTTTGTTTAGACTTGGGCAAAATGGAAGTCTTCCACAAAGTTTATAATATGACAGCAGAGGTTGGAATTTTCTCTTTTTTGTATCCAGTAAAAGTTACATTAAAACAAAAGGAAGAGGTCATCAATATCGGAGTTTATCGACGCTTTTGCCCCTCTCCCGATCGAATAAATAGTTATGTCGATGCAAATTAAAATTCTGATTTTTTTCTTCTGAAAATTGTCCAATTGAAAAATTAATGTGATTAATGCATCAAAGACGAGTGCATTTGTTTTAAAAACAGTCATGTATTGAATGAAGTAATTAGGTATTTTGCAACAGTAACACGAACTCGACTAATAATGGACGCAAGTAACAAATCTGAAAAGTCTAGCATATTCGTTCATTTTGAGACCTTTCTTGAACAGACCGGTTTTCTATAATTGTATGCATACTTTTTAACAAAGGTTGTTCTTGACGATCTGAAAGCTGCTCCGAGGTTTTCCCGATATAGCAACAAGTAATATGTGCAGACTGGATTCCGAGTATTGCAGATCATTCATTGATAACAGGTTAAACGAAATAATTCGTCACTAGGTACCCGGGAAAGAAGCATCCGTGAATTTGAATGTGTTAGTAAATCGGTCTATTACGCCAATTGAGAGAGTAAATTTTAGTAATGAAATGAACAAATAACTATTTCAAACTTCATTCTTATCTGATTTTTTCTGTTATCCAGATGGTGTTCATGGTCGTACAGCACGATGTCGTCTAGAGCTTACCAGTGTCTCTGAAGCAATGATAGCAAACAGTGTTAATGTCCGTATTCCTGGTGTTACACAAGATGAGTTCCTTCAGTCTGGTGGTATTGGAAAACTCCGTATGGCGTTGAGTGAACTCCTAGACGCTCATAAACTCAACATATTCAACATCCGGGAAATGACCGAAGATGGGCACCCGATTGTCAATATTTCTTTCTCGGCACGTAACAACGAAAACGGATTCCTTTCTCCTCGACAAATCGTAAACACTATTTTCTTCAAGCGTGATCAGTTACAACTTCTTTGTGGTCTATTGGTTATACCGGCTGAGGATGATCGGTGTTTGTACGAGACATGCGGTGGATATCAGAGATGTATGAGCAGAAAAACACATACAGGAGGATCGTCTGTATCCTCAAGGAATAGCAAAAGTTCTGTAACCTTTCATGGCATCAATCCATCGGTAGTACAGTGGTGCGAATGTCCTGATCCACACACTAATAATAACTGCTCAGAACCACTCGACTTCTGCCACTCCAAACCCTGTGTTAATGGAGGAACCTGCGAGAGGACGGATGATGGATACGTCTGTGTTTGTCCACTAGGATACGCTGGTGAGTTAGCAATACATTTATAAAAGTTATAGTCACAGAAAGAAGAGATAATGATGATCTAATAAACTAAGATCACGAACTACGAACTGTGGAATCTATAATAGAGAGAATGTAATAAGTTTAGTAGGCATACATCTCGATTAAATAGTAGAAAATTTTGCGGCATGTTACTTGCTTGTGTAGGCCTACATACATTGTTTGTTTTTTAATTGCTGTAACCCTTATTTATCTGTAACTCAGGGACAGAAAAAAAATCTTCTCACAATACTTCTATTTTGTACTATAGTGATAATTATGATGCTCTAAGGATGTAAAACTGTGGATGTTGACTGGTACATCACAGTGCCGTAAAAGGACGTGACACGTAGCAGTTCACTGTGTCGACGTGCAAATCTAAAAGTCCCTAATGGCGAATAAAGCACTTATGAGGCAATTGCTCTGTCATGTTGCTAACATGCTTCCTTAATCGTTCTTATATGATCATCAAATCATTACTGTTGCCAATGACGTGTTATGATTTGTTGATATGAACTTGTGTAGTATGACCGACACTTGAAGGAAAGGAGCTCTAAACATTGTGTTGAATAGAAGGCCAAACGTTTTATCTTGTTTTGTCTATATCTGTGAGCCAAATTATATTGATTTAATTAATTACTCAAGTGAGGGCTGAATACTTTACAGATGAGTCGAATACTTGGATAACGCTCTAGGTGATACTTATTATGATGAGAAAACAATTAGAAACGTCAACCAAGATGGATTTGAAATACTAACTTCAATAACTTTGACATTTAATGTTCATCCATTGCTATATTTCTACTGTACACAGGAACTAATTGTGAGATGGATTTCGAGAGAGGTCAATGTTTTGATGGAGCATGTAAACACCATGGTGTCTGCGAGAACCAGAGGAATGGAGGCTTCAAGTGCTACTGCCGTGTCGGGTTTGATGGTGCTCGGTGTGAGATGACAGCTAGACATTTTCCCACAGGAGCATACATGGCCTTCCCGACTATCACTCATAGATCATATATGATTCTGTCACTCAAGTGAGTTCCTAATCATCACTTAATTATTACATGTGTGTAAAACATAAGGAATGTACACTTAGGTCATATTTATATGATCCTATCACTCAAATGACTTCATCATTGCCACCCATAGGTCGTGTATGTAAGAAATAGGAAAACACTGCAACAATTCTGAATGATGATAAACACTGTCTAATTCCATTACGAGAAAAGAGCAAAGAGAAAACGTCTATTGAGGTGTTGTGGTCCAGTGGATAAGTCTCCGGACTGTGAACCACAAGGTTCGGGGTTTGAATCCCTGCCACACCACTAACGTCCTTCGGCAATATGTTAATCTACACTTGCCACACTCCAACCAGGTGGGTAATACTTTCCAAAGCTCGTTGGAAGCGCGTAGGGACGTTATATCTTAATCCATGAAAGGAATCGCTACAACACTTAAGTTTCCTCAGTACAATATGCACTTTTTCCTTACTCGGGGGGGGGGGGGGGGGGAATGATGCTTAATTACCCCTGGCTAGGCTACTGTGCCTCATCGAGGCGTCACCAATGGATAAGACAAAAAATTGCCGCCCTGTTCCTAACCATTACCCCTGTATGATCTCTATCAGTCAAGGGAGTTCCCAATCATGTATATGTCTTCACCATTTTCATTGTTTTTTCTTCAGTTTTTCGACTTTGCAGACCGACGGAATGATCATGTACATTGGTCGCTATTCTCAGCAGCATGACTTTCTAGCGCTGGAGATCATCGGTTCGCAGGTAGCCTTCTCATTTGCCGTGGGTCGTCTTATCATGAGAGTAATGGTTGGAGTACGAGGAGGTGTTAGTGATGGTAACTGGCATGTCATCAAACTAGATTACAGAGATAAGGTTAGTTATATTGATATTCACAAACATGCAAGGAACGAGGAAATAATTGGTCAGTCAAGAAACGGGGATTTAAGTTAAGTCAAATTTTATATAGGAGCTAGATTACAGCGATAAGGGTGTAAAGCCACCTATAATGTCACCGAGCTAAAATATAAAAAATCACTTACGTTACTCTGAACGCCATGAAATGTATGCTATGTTACCTTGCAACCAACTACGAACAGGGATGAGGTATTCATATTGTGTATTTTCGAGCCCATGCATTAGAACAGGCCTTCTCAACTAGTTTATTAGAAGTGCCAAAACAAAAATGTATTGAGGTTGAAGTGCCAACCTGTATGTTTGGTGACTGTGATGCGAGGGAGCGTAGCCGATACCGGGTGGGGTACAGGGGGCGAAACCCTGGAAGCTAGTGGATTTTAGGGCTTTTTTAAGGCCAAGATGTGGCATTTTTAACACCTTCTATTCCATAAAATATCAATCACAATTTCATATTGAAGTGAAATAATTAGTACAATTCCTGGGTAAATGGAAGTAAATTTATATGTAGTTAATGTGGTGCAATAAAGACGGAAAATGTCAAAATCAAGTGAAAATCAAACAAACAAAATGGCTTGGTTACATTTTGGACTCTACTTCGACTGCGACCTTTTGATTTTGCTGATTTTTTTAATTTTAGAATATAGTTTTTTGATTTTTCTTTCTTTAATTTTAAATTTAAATTTTATTATTTTTGTATTAATTTCTTGGAACAGCCGCGCGCCACTCCAACTGACCGCATGCGCCACAAGTGGCGCGCGCGCCGCCAGTTGAGAAGGCCTGCATTAGAATATATAACAGATGTTTGCAATAGATTAGGGGGGGGGGGAGAAAGAAAATAATGTAGGAAATAATGCATTTCCATAACCGTCGTCATATTACCTTGAATTTTTGAATAATTATGAAAACCTCAAGCTCTATCCGGTATTATAAATATATTTATATGATATTCCCTTCCTTATAGATTGTGGAGGTGCTTCTTGATCACTGCGCGACCGGAGGTGAGCCCTCTTCGTCAGAAGATGATGAACTAAGTAATGATCCATGCATAGCCTTTGCTACACAGGCTGTTGATGTAACAACATGGTAAGTGGTCAATCCGAAATACGTGTAATATTAATTTTCTTCCATTTCTGTTTTCATTTTAACAAAATACTCAGGTGATACATGACTTATGTAATGACATAAATAATTTAAAAGAGCATCTTAATAGTTTTCACACAAGGAAAAGGAAAGAGACGTTAATCCCCCAAAATAATGATGAGTAAAGAAAGGGAAAGGGAATTAAGAGTAAAGAGGTTGGAGACGTCTATAGGGTATATTGAGCCGTATAAAAGAGACTATGAATTATTACCATATATACTCATTCTATGTAGTGCGTAAGTGGCTTATAATGAGAGATGTATATGAATTTCATACATGTTATAATCTGGGCTTCTTCTTTGTTTTTAATCGACAGGTTCCTGGATGTGAACACACCGCTGCTGGTAGGTAGCTTGCCAGCACAGCAGCAGGAGACACGGATACTAAATGAAGATTTCATCGGTTGTATTAAAGATGTCATGATTAATAATCGAATGCTGGACTTTGCAGAAAGTTTGTTTGATCACAACACGGAGCCAGGATGTCCAATATCGAGATATCGGTGAAATTGGAAACACAACACGAACATGATATGATTCATAATAACAATGGCATCAGACGATGAGGAATCTGTGAGGGAGGGCATTTGTGTATGCCGTTATAACCTGAGTCGAGTAAACACTCAATTTGTATGTCTCTTTTTACCCAGGGTTCGCTCGTAAGGATAGTAACGGTAATATTTTTGGATAATGGATGGATTCGAATTGGTGAATATATTACAATTATAATCAAAAATTAAATATCCTTGTGGTTTCACAAGTAAATAAGATGGTTCCTTGAGCATAATTACGTAGCAACATTGGGTATTAATCAGTTACGTCTTTTTGTTCATAACCATGAATCATAATTGAAAATACATCATCTCATCTCAGTTGTTTCGTGGTATGAAGCCTGAATGGCTAAGTTCTAGGCATGGATTCTTAACCGATTCACGACGGTCCAGGCGCGTACGCAGGATTTTTTCAAGGGGGGGGGGGGGGGGGGGGCGTTTAACATTTATAAATCGGGCCGAAAATTTCGCAACGACTCAGCCAGCCGCTGAATAAGCGGGAGGGGGGGGGGGTAAGAGGACACTTCGTGGGGGGGGGGGGGGGGGGGGGTAAGGTCACCTTTTTAGGTCAGCCATGGGAATAATTTTTTTTTTTTTTTAAATCCAAGGGGGGGGGGGGGGGTTTCCATTAATACAGATCGCGGTAGCGGTACATCTGGCTTAATTTCTACTACGAAGAGCGAAGATGTGATGAAACTTAAAGTGATTTCTATACAAATTGATTTGTTCTTCAAGAACATAACTTGGAAGTGAGTTATTAAGATGATTATGTGGCGCTACTTATATCCACGACTAAACGCGTCTATGATACGAATGCTGAGAAGGATATAACAAATGTGATAGCCTCTCTCTTATCACATTATTTTAGAGTCAATTTAGATTAGACTTACATTTTAAAAATAAAGAAGAAAACCATGGTCCATGAATCTTAGCCCTTGAATGTTTTGATAGTTATCATAATAGTAGTGGTTACTTGTATAGTGTGCACATCTGATTATATGAGGCTGCACACCAGCATTATTGTTTACCCCCTGCTTTGATGTTGTTGCACGGCTGCTTTTACTCTTGGTACGACTTAAACCTGAGTTGAGAGTGGCAAAAGTATAATTAATGTCTTACTAAAACGTATACGTGATGTGCTGCACTCGAACCCACGACCGTCGCATCTCTAGTCGAGTTTATGTCTTTTACAAAAGACAAACCTCGACAAGGACATTTTGATTTACCGTAACATGATCATCTAAACCCTAATATGTTTGTTATATCGATCTGAGTGTTTTCATTGGTACAAGATACTGTTTTTATTTCATCGATTTAGTGCCTTGTGAGAAGTAAATTTACAAACATTATATCATCCGTTTGTTGATGGATTTCACAACGTTATTCTCTTGCATCTAATCGCTCCTATAAACCGGGCATGGTGGCTCAGTGGTTAGAGCGCCCGCCTCATGAACGGGAGGTCGTGGGTTCGAACCTCGGCCGAGTCATACCAAAGACTTATAAGAATGGGACCTTCTGCCTTCTAGCTAAGCGCTCAGCATATTATTATGTAACCAAGGCCCGCTGGAAGAGCAGTTTCATAACTGAAGTGGCTACCCTGGGTAAATAAAACGTTCTTATTATTACTGTATCATTGTTCAGTTTTGCTAAGCTGTGTAACTGTAAACATACACCATGCTGGTATAAATTAATCAGTCTAAATGATACGTAGCCGTGTTTATATTCATGCTGTAATATATTAACAAATTTATGTAAATGGGACGAATGTCAAATTTGACATTAATAAGTGGTGTTGTTCGATGTTATGTAAAATACAGATGTTCTGATATCCATTGCATTATACAGTTAGGTATGAAAGTAATGAGAAAGGGGAGATTTAAAAGATTAATTACTCAAGATGAGAGTGAACTATTTAAACTTCCACAAAATAAACAGACAAACTTTACACACAGTAAATGGTGTTAAAAGGTGAATATTTATTAAATTTCAAAATAGTGAATGTACGATTGTGATGAATAACATTGTTTACTAAAAGTGGAATTGTTATACATTGTTGTTAAATATACCTTAATATGTGAAATATGTGAAATATACATGTACATATGCTTGACTTAAACATTTCTTTCCTTATAACTGTCTTCATTGTGTTCGGTAACATCAATCGGTAACTTGCTGCGGCAGCTCTTGTGAGGTTTATTTATTGAAGAACCCGTTCAAATTTGACTAAAAACATGGTTCAGTTTTAAAACTATTTAAATCATTTTAATTTGTTGACTCGTCGTCGTTTTTCTATGGCAACTGTCCCTTTTTGTGAAATCTTACATATTACATAATGCTACTTCCCTCAGGACTATATATTCAAGCCTACGTACCCTTCGCGCCATAATCTTTATCTCCCCCAACATTGAAATCACATAAGTGCTTCTATACATGATATGGACACGTAGAAGAGCAACATGTAAATGTAAAATCCATTGATTCAGAAAGTGATTAATATGAATAAAATGTATTACTATCGACGGAACTATAACCGTAATTAAACCGAAATTGACGATGTACGATTTCACACTTTAGCTTATATTTACTACGAAGAATACCACCCCAGTCACACCAACGAGTTCGACACCAGTCCGACCGCAGACCGACACCAGTCCGACCGCAGACCGACACCAGTCCGACCGCAGACTGACGTCAATCCGACCGCAGACCGACGTAAGTCCGAAAGTCGACCGACACTAGTCCGCCTTAGACCGACACCGGTCCGACCGCGGACCGCACCCAGTCCGACCGTAAACCGACACCGGTCCGACCGTAAACCAACACCAGTCCGACCGTTTACAGACGCTAGTCCGACCGCAGACCGACACCGGTTCGACCTTAGAACGACACCGGTCCGACCGGAAAACGATACCGGCCGACGGCAGACCGACACCAGTCCGACCTTAGAACGACACCGGTCTGACCGTAAACCGATACCGGTCCGACGGCAGACCGACACCAGTCCGACCTTAGAACGACACCGGTCCGACTGTAAACCGATACCGGTCCGACGGTAGACCGACACCAGTCCGACCTTAGACCGACACCGGTCCGACGGCAGACCGTATACCGACGCAAGTCCGACTGTAGACCGACGCACAGTGGGCCAGGGAGGAACCAAAGTGCGCCAAAACTAAGTTTGGGTGATTTTTTTTTTCAATTTTTTTCTTGCCCAGTTGAAAGGTAATACATAGAGGAATACCTCAGTGAAATATTTAATTCCGTTATGCACAATAAGGGTATAAATTTACTACTTCAAACAGCAAAATCCTACATATTCACAGTTTTAGTGCAAAAGTGACTTATTTTATAAATCTTTCAATTCAACATGAAGTTTTTAAGTTATTGATATGAAATTGCTCTCACATATTCCTGATAGTTCATTTCGTTGAATGAATGGGTTAAAATGAATAGAAACACAATCTTCATGATATATTATAGGGTAATTCACTGAAAAATGGACTAATTATCCATGTTTTTTATAAATCCAGAAGAAATGTTTAGATCTCCGCAGTGTACCGCTTAAATTTTAATACCACCATTTCCTCTGATGTCTAAGCTTTAAGTTGATACCATATTTGGCTGCCCGATCTTGCCCGTTGTTATGTTAGAGCCGATTTCCCTTGCCACATTGCCCCGAAAATGTGGGTTTTGGGGGTCCGCGGCTGAATCATGAAGGATTCGTGGTCATAAATCACGGCGCGAGGGGGCGCGTGACACTTATTCTGACACCGCGGACCGAAATAAACACATTTTCGGGGCAATGTTGCAAGGAAAACGGCTCTAACATAATAACGGGCAGAATCGGGCAGCCAAATCTGGTATCAACTTAAAGCTTAGACATCAGAGAAAATGTTGGTAATAAAATTTTAGCGCAAATCCCTGGAAATCCAAACATTTCCTCTGGATTTATAAAAAATAAATCCCCAAACATGAGTTTTGGCGCACTTTGGTTCCTCCCTGGCCCACTGTGCGACGCCAGTCCGACATCAGTCTGACCGGAGACCAAACCAAAATATTTCATTATCCCGAATGTCCAAGAATGAAGATAAGCTAATGACTTATACAGCTGACCAAAGACAAATATTAACAAATTTCAGCCAATATTTACAGTGCAACAATAACATCCAAAAATGCGCCTTGAACGCATGATAATATACCTAATGTTATCAATGATTGATGTTCACGTGCAAGTTATTATACAAACACCGAGCGTACAGTTCTTATGAAATTAAACCTATGATAATATCCTTTTTTCAACGAACAGTGTGGTGAATGATATTGTAATGAGCACATGAGGCGTTTTAGAACAAAACCTTCATATAATATCAATTTAGCAGTTTATACGAGTAAACTATTTACAACAAATAAAGCAATACGATTAAAAGATACGGCCTCTACGCCTGATAATATACCAATGACAATTATTTTCGTGTTTAGGTGCTAAAAGTGAATCAAACAACAGTAGTAATATATTAATTGATTTCCAATGATAGCAACGATAGCAATGATGACCGTGACACAAGTGAGTTAAAGTACTTAATATTACACAAACAATTGTCATAGTTATGAAACTAATGATAATGATAATAATGTCACTACTATTGTATACTTGTCACTCTAAAGTAGACTTCTTCGCTTTAATGATACAACAACGATGACGCAATAACGATTGTGCATGTACGAAACGAATTACATGTGATTAATGTTTTCTTAGATCATTCTGCAGTCTAAGAGATACTTCATCTTTAATATCACACTGAAAAGATTTAGCGGGTAGCAAAGAAAAGCTTCGCTTTATTTGTCTTCTAAATTACTTTTAAAACTTGTTTATCTTTCAAAGTGCAGGTGCGATTAAAGGCACTTTTTCCACAGACAGGCATAAGCACCCCATCATAATAGTACACTCCCTTCCCCCTCCCAACCCCTTACTGAAAGTTCTTATCTTGAGGTAAATGAATATGTCGATTCCATGTGTAACATGTACCAGTTGACTGAACGATTTGTATTGATGGCAAACAAAATGTTAAACTTGTGGGAAATTTGGACTGGAAAAAACCAAATAGTTCTGTATGAAATCATATTAATTTTCTATTCTACTTAAAAGCGCAATCATTTAATAACTTCATCATCCGATGTGCTAAAGATCTATTTATCAACTCTGAAAATTGGAAATAAAATATGCAAAATTCTGCATGTAATTCCAACTCTTTCTCTCTTCGGTTTGAACAAATACAACATGGTGACAAAACTAACCATTACATCAAGAAAAGTACATTAACATCCAGGTTAGAGAGGGGGAGGGTGGACAGAGATGGCCCGATGAGATGACACTATGCTCTCCACCCTCTCCACTTTGTTTCTGTGAACTTTGTTACAATACGAATACGAATAAAACAATGATAATCTTAATTAATAAATATGTTATATTTCGCTTGTGTGCATTTATCTAGTTACACTGCTCACAAAGAACAAATAAAAAAAGGTTTATTCATTTTATAAAAATGAATATCCTAGATCTTTCTCATGTGAAATGAGAAAGGAGAAAATAAATAAGGCGACGTCACAACTGATTGAGAACAAATCCCAAGTATCGAGTATGGCTAACTTCGAACCATTGCTTTAGCTCGCGAGAGAGAGAGAGAGAGAGAGCCTTCGTCACCATAACATTTGATTAGCTTTCTCAATGGTGTCTGTTAAACACTTAATATTGATTGTTAAACTGTATATATATTAAAGAACGTCTGAAGGCAAACAATATGATCATATTTGTCACTCAGAGTTAAAGTCCTACCATCTACGATTCATAATAAGGTCCTGTGTATGACGAGGATGACGAGGATGATGAAACAAAGTTTACATAAGGTCTTGATAACAAAGTATCGTCATTGTTATCTCATTTCCCGCCTTGTTGATTCAACCTTTATTTCTATAATTTTATAAATAATAATGGTTAAAATGATAATAATAATGAAAATAACATTAGCAAAATAATAATAACGATAATTAACCTTCATCTATAACAAATTATTGAGGATTTAATCACCAATAATTTAGAATAAACCGGCCCCTTTTGCTCCTGATAGAAGCCTCTGTTGTATTATTGTATAACTGTACTTCTAAGTACCAGTCTGATTTTGATAATTAAGTTACCAATTAATATATTCGCCATGCAGTTGTCTAAGAACTCTTCTGTTCCTTGCTAACGAATGACGATAGTGTGTTGATAGTACTACGCATTGTCTTGCCATCACTTGTAGTACAGGTAGAGTCATTCATAGAGCTGCTCAGAGGTTGGATCCTAAATCGCCGGATTGAACGACCAATGTGATACAACTCCATGCGACGTTTGAAAGTATCACGAACCTAGAACATAATTATCAAAATAAGTCTCATTTTTATTCCTATATTACAACGCAAGTCTAACCGAGCTTTATAGACACATATATTGTTTCAGAAGACTTCAATTGAATCAGTTGTCTGCAAGGCTAACAAAATAAATTGAATGACTTTTTGACATATTAAGTTCAAACACAAAAGAAATGTGATTGTGAAGTCACTTTTTGATTTAAAGGTTTAATTGGAGAAAACCAAATCCATGATCACAGTCCTACGACTAAATTGGCAAAGATTACGATAGAGATTAAAAGGCACGTACACAAATTTACCAAGAATGGAATACAACATATTAACGATACTATGTCCCTTTTGTAGCCAACATCAAATTCTGTAGAACTTTGCAGGAATTATGGATATATGTCATGTATGTCCTATCCGTGAAATTTAAACGTTAGCAGTGTCCTAATATTCAAATTATGCAAGGAATCATATTTACTTGCTACACTGCACTGTCAGACACTATTGAGTGACTGACTGGCTTTTTTCATCTTTGGTAATAACATACATAAAATGAGCTGTAAAGGGTACATGAGCATTTGTCTACATCAATAACCCACTTCTTGTAATGGCCAAAATTAAACTGATTGAATCTTTGCGCAGCATAAAACGTACGACCATTCGAAACAATGGTCTGAAAAATCAGACTATTACTTACTGGCTCTATAGCTCCTAAGTCGATTCGACAACTAATAGTCGTTATTTCCCACTTAAATACATTTTCAAGCCCCCTTTTTGGGGGGGAAGTTCTAAATTAGTATTGTCTTTCAAATGCCATTGGAATTTAACCTTTTCATTTTGGGCCTGCAAATGGGACATAGTACCTTTTTTCTTTAATACTTAATAATGACAATGGATGATGATGATATTGGCAGAAAAGACGAGCGATATGGTGGTTTACCTCCTGGCTGTTAAGACAGTGTAGAATGAAGATGAGTATGCCTTGGATGGAGTTACATAACACGAAGATATAGAGGAACGTCAGGTTAGATGAATCGGCCAGAGTAAACACACCAAACAACCAGGTCGATCCCATCAGAGGTGAGATGGTGAGCGAGGCCTTCAACGCGTATCTAAAACAAGCACACAAAGGCCATCAATCACAACAAAAGGCTTTTATACAAATATACTGGTATATAGAAAATCCAAAGTTATGACACGATGTGGTTCAGATAATTACATGGAATATTGTAAATTAATATATAAATGTTTTTTCGGACTCATTTTCAATCGTGCATCAAACTAGGCCAACTTTTATAGTACTCATTAAATCATACTTGCTTTGCATAAGTAGTTTGTATAACGTTTATGTGAGCATGTATTCACTATCGAGTGATGCAGCGTCTCAAGGTTATAACAATTGCAATCATTCTATCAATATCTAATAATCAAAGTATAAACATTGTTGTATTTACTTGAGTTTCTGATATCTTGCTCCGTCTCTCTTGAGTTGATCATGGTTCTTGAGATTGACAATGACGACCGTAACACGAGTGAGGATAGCCATGTTACCAACCACCACGCACAGAGTAGGGATCACGAAGAAATAGATCGAGTTGTCCGAATAATCTAACCAGCAGGCACTAGAAATCAACAACAATAAGTATCCAAATTAAGCTTTCAATTCCTTACATGTATTTAACATTTCAGAAAAAAATAAAGAGAAAATGAAATTCTTCAATTAGGTATTTGCATTAACGAAAACAAAATGTTTCAAGCAGAATAATCTAGGTTTACTGTTTAAAAAGGAGAAGTATGTAATATACTGTTTTTTGTTGTTGTTGCTTTTCTCCATTCCTTTTGCAACCAGTTTTTCTAATTGCTTTCTAGGTTTTTTAAGGATTTTTTGTCATTTAAGATTTCAAAAAATTGATCACAAAACGAAACAAAAGGGCATTCACTATAATTATATCAACCTATCTTTACATTGAACGGACGCTTCATTAACTAATTATTCATATTTTATTCATTATTTAGATACAATAGGAGATGTTGAATTTCGTGCGATTTCCAAATTCCGATAATGACTGTTAGAGATACCAAATAAAATGTTAGAATTCCTGCTTTATGCTAATTAACTTACTCAGCTCGTCGTCCAATGCTATCTAAGGTTGATCCAATCACAACTGCCGTCATTAGCAACGGGATTCCTAAACAAATGAAAACGTTCAGAGTTTAACCTATGCTTAAAGAGAAGGTTGAGTTCTGGGGAGAGGTGACAAATAATTTGTGAGTGTTTTCATTGTTATTATGCAAGTGTGGAAGGACATCAGAGAAGAAAATGTTCCCTGAAAAGCATGGCTCTTTAAATGCCTTCATATTCGAAATATGACATGTAACAGCTTCAAAATGTGGGCCTCATTTTATGCCACATGCTTGTTAAGTCCCATATACATCTTTCTGTGAACAGTGCTTGTTACTTTTTCCAAGACTGGGCTTAATTTCTTATTATTTTGATGAGTTCAGACCATTGCAGTACACACCAATAAAATTATGCTACATGATCAATTTTTCTGATCGATTCCACACCGTTTCTTTCGCAGTGCAATCGCATGACCAGAACTTTATCTTCAAGGCTAGAATGCCAATATTAAAGATGTTAGTTGAGTAACCGACGTCAGTAACAACATGATACGCGGGACATTTTAAATTATGGGAACCCGGAAGCAATGGAAAAATTAAAAAAAACTCCACATGACTGTAAGAAAATGAATATTGTATCAGCATTTGAAATAGCAAGAATAATGTTGTGCTGTTTAGGCCTATAGGTGCAGTACTAGTTTTTCCCGCTTCTATACTCAAGTTTACATGTAACTATGGAATATATTAGCCTTTGGACATAATTGAAAAGAGAGAACTACATAATGCTATTATCAGGTGACGTTATTCAAAACACCATGTTCCTGGGGGAAGATAAAACACAGAATGGAAGTTTAGATGCGACATACCCCATCCACCGAGCAGGTAGTATCTCATCTTACTACTCTCCTGATTGAAGACAAGAACAACTTGAGTATAGAGCTGCAGTCCTTCAATCATCATCCACACGAACGAAGCCGTGAAGAAATAATACATGATACCAGCCATTACCTGACATCCAATCTAAAACAGAAAGGCAATGAATAGCGCTAAACGGTAGGTCTTCATTAATATTGATATAAAAGCTTTGATGAGGAGAGCCCTTAATACAGGGGGTAAATGGAAATACGCCTACCTTTTGATTATGAGTTTTACAGTAAATGATGAACCATGAAATCGGTTAAAAGTTAAACAGAAAATTGAAAAAACAGCAACACAAAAACTAAAACAAAATAGCCAATGAAAGGAGTGGAAAATGACAAGAAATAAGAGAGTCGGACATTCTTCAAGATGACCACAAAAACTGGTAACTTCATTTCATTATTTGCGACTCACTATAGTAATACATGTCCACAAAATTAATGGAATTATACTTCTTTTTTAATAATTGGAGAATGAGCTTCATTTCGAAAAGGAGGGCATAGAGGACATCATTTCGAATCATACACCATGCATTTTTTGCAAAGAAATAAAGAAACTAATTGATAAATAGAAATAAACACCTGGAACCCCCTTCAAATGTAGGATGTTGTGCTACATAAAACATAAAGGGAATCATGGTTGGAGTTGCCCATAAATTATGTAAAGTGTTCTTCATGACTACAAGAATTTACAACTGACAATTTTTCACATTTTTTCTATGAATCTCTTTGCTTTTATTCAAATATGAACGTTCTCAAGTAAGTGGATTTATAATAAATATCAGTCACACTTATATTCGTCTTTGTTAATGTGAAGTGAACATACCGTCATAGGTTCGAGAGAACCCTGAGCAAGAAAGAGTATCTGAGACATTGCTATGGATGCGGCCAGGTTGCTGTGTATCAACACACGATCAGTGTTCATCCTAGAAAGAGAAATGCAAGTATTGGTGGTCTAGCTTAGGAAATGAACATATTGAAATTTAGAAGAACTAAAATGCTTTAATTATTATTTTCATTATTATTGACTTTAGGTATCAATTTATCAATATTTATCTTTTGATTTCTTCTATATTTTAGTTTCAAAATTTAAGTTCTGTTCATTGAAATCAAAGGTAAATTATGTCAATATAGAAATATTTTAAAATAAAAATCTATAACTTCTTGCAATACTTAACCGAAATCAAATTTTACTAAGGCAACTGATATTAACTTATGATATTAAATATATACTCTTATAAGATAAGAATAAAAATACCTGATGCATGCCTTTTTGTAATATCACCAATGTCATTGTCATACTATTTGTAAATCATTCTATTTCCGATTAAAAAGCAAATAGCCAAGAATTTTATGTCAAGTTAAAAACAGTTGTCAAATACAATTTGGCAGCCGACACGCGATTCTTTTTGTTAGGCTAAATGTCACAGATTAGATTTATCAGACTAGAGAAGGAAGTCACGACTAAAAGTCTTGACTAATTATACCCGCTTCATTACCATTAACTGACTTAGTGCTGACAGTATTATTTTTGACCCCATTCACTGGATTCAATTACTATTCTGCACAGTGCACATTCACCACTCCTCGGGGAGCATCGCAACCAGTCGCTTTTACACGGGCGGCACATGCTAACAATCCAACCACAGTGATGGTCGCATCCTACTGGTTACACAATTAAAGCCTGGGTGGCATAAAAGGAGCAATGTTGATAAAATGTCTTGCTTAATGTCTTGAGTGCCGAGCCGAGGCTCGAACCCACGAGCTTGGCATTTCCAGTCAAGAGATTAAACCACTCGACTACGAAAAAGCAGGCTAATACAACATTATTAGTGATTTTTGTTGGAAGGATATATACTCACTTTAGAATGATGAAAACTATCACAGTCGCTACTGATCCAAAGACCGACAGACCACATCCAATGTTAGATAACACTGTTAGTACTCTCACGTGATGTTCTCCGATCTATAAAACAGAAACAGATTCAACTTCCATTTTGGTAGAGCTCATATAAGTCCCAACACATTGATACTACTACTACTACTACTACTACTACTACTACTACTACTACTACTACTACTACTACCATAGTAATGATTTTACTTTTCATAGGCCAACCAAAGATTTACCCTTGCAATGGTTATTGTTCATAGACCAAACAGAGATTTACCTTAGTAATTATTATTTCTCATAGACCAACCAAGATTCAAAACTAAAATGCATGAGTTGACAAACATGCAGCCATGTGAGATGCGTCGGGAGTTCTAAGAGTTTTCAAACTGTCGGAGAATTTCCTGCAAGAGTGCGGTTCTATTCAAGACATGACTTTTTGGTGATAATAATATCGTATATTTCTATAGCGTACATATCAACCACGCAAGGTGCCCAAGGTGCTCCAATATAAACCCGACTCTCCTGGGCTACCGTGTCGGTGCTCACAGCACTCAGGGCCTTCCTTCATACCGGTACCAGGAATTATAATTACTGCAAGGAACCCATTTGCCTCACCTGGGTCGAGTGTGGCAAATGTAGATTAAGGTCTTGCAAATAACATTATAGTGCCGCGATGGGACTCAAACCGTGAACCAGGTGATCCGTGATTCGTAACGTAACTAGTGAATCGCGACACCTTCGTCGCTTCCTTCCATGTGAGTGCATAATACGGATAGTAAGCAAATAACGAACTTTTCTTCTCCCATCAATGATGGACGAACTATCTTTCATCACGTGATTAAATTTTGACCAATCGTAGAGCAAGATTCTTAGTATGTGGAATATAATAAAGATTATGTCCTTACCTTTCCTGGTTCCCGAATCATGAGGACAGCGAAGTGTGTAAGATGATAACAGGAACATGTAACATGTGTCTTATTATAATCAGTCATGTCGCAACCATTGGTAAGCCAAGCTCCTACAGTTTTACTGTCCCTGTTAAATAAATCACGGTCACGTAGCTCAAGAAAATCACTAGCTTTTCATTGCATCATATTCAGAGACAGTGTTTATATAGAAGGGAGAACAATTCTGTCTATACTGCAATTGGGAATGTTTTATACCTTCAAAATGTATCAGCATTACCGTTACATTCTCCTTAATGATGGGGAGTTTGGGGATAATCCTGGTAAGTCATCTTCAAAATTTAGAAAATACATGTATTACCGGCGAGTCATGTATTGGCTTTTATTCTTTGTAGAGTGACGACGGAACCCATAGAGGGACTAACTAAATCAATTGGCGGAACAAATGTTACACAATTTTTCCTTTTTCTTGGCAAAAAATCACTTAACAGTATCACTGATTTTAAAACAATAAATATGCCTATTGTTCCTTTCTAGATTGAAAGTCTTAATTTTATTATCAATCCGAAGGGTGTCTTTCCACAATTCTTTTTGTTTTAAGATAGAAAAAAACAACGATACACATGACCGACCAAATTTTGATATGTGCTGTTATGATAGATTGTTCGCTCTTTTATACAATAAAAGTGCTTTCTAATTCTGAAGAGTTATCCTATCATTTAGATATAAGAAAATGGTAATCTGCAATGAACTATTTGTTGAATACTGGAAAAAGGATTTAAATGTGAAATCACATATGTCACAAACTTGATTTTTTTAATATTTAATTTAATTTATTTTTTTATAAATGAAAACGATGTACGAACATTGAAAAAAGTATGTTGAGTGCTACATTGGACAAGAGAACAAGATTTTTTAATTTGACTTATAATGACAGATCATATTTCCATCCACTACAGAATGTCAATTGAATACTGGAAACGTCCCCTTCAGCAGATATGATAGCATATGATTACTTACTCAAAGCTGGTATTCCAGTACACACATGAGCTTGAAAATTTGTCGTATTTAGATGCATCCTTTCAGTCAATAAGAGCAGAAGAACGGGGAAAGAAAAGGGGAAAAATTGTGAATAATCTCAGATTAAAATTTCTTCATGTAGGTATGCATGAAAGTCAACCCAAAATGTTATTAAGGATTCATTGCTATTTCTATATATTTTTGTTTATGGAGAATATCAACGTGGCAGTCACATAGCCCCGATACATAGCAAGCTACATTACTAAGCCTTGTCAAACAGCTGAAGTTTGTCAGTAGGTGCTATGCTATGTCTGGCTATTTTTGAGAAAGCAATTGTTCTTTAACAATCTAAAATTAGTCAATACATTATAATTTAACACAATCTTTTATTATATAGATAATTAAGTTGGAATTACTACATATTTTGACTACCCAGGCACTTATGTTGATGGTATCCATAATTACATACATATTCAGTAGAGTGGGTAATAGATGACGTAACAGTAAGTATTCTTTAATACACACACTGCTTTTTGATAGTGCTGAAATGAAATTACTTTAAAATTAAATCCATAAAATAAACATGAAAAATACCCAAACAAGTACCGGCACAGTATTATGAATAGTGACTATTGACAACGTATCTAAGCAACGATAGGAGCCAAAAAATAAGGATAAAAAGCATTGAGCACAGAGCAGGCATTTGATGAAATAAAGATTTGTTTTCTCTTTCTTTTAAAAATGAAAACGTTGGAGATAACTGACCTTGAGTTGTTCTGATTCAAGCTCAAAGACGATCACGATGGGCGTGTCGAATGTGACGGAGGAGTTTGATGTAGGGATGAAGGTAATATCAATGACAGTACTAGCAATGAACCTGGTCTGCTCTGACGAGTCCACTTCAGTGCTTACATTGCTGGATGGTGAGTAAGTTGAGTTATCCCTGCAATGATAATCAACATCTGGTTTTCCTAGTATTCGGATTACAGGAAAGTCAACTGATCAATTCAGTTTATTCATTTGGTTTTGGATAAGCGTTTACAGAATATTAACACATATCCCGAACTTCTCATTCTTAGAAACAGGTGAACAATATTGAGGATGATCTAACTGAGTGAGGGAGATTGATGAAATTGATCTTACCTTGCTGGGAAGATGTCGTGTAGGTTGTCATAGATCACCACGATTACTAGAACGGTTTCTTCCTCTTTAAGTACACTGATGGGTATGGAAACCTCGACATCGGGGCTAATTCCTTCCCCATAACTCGCATTAGCAGATTTAGTTTCGAGCGCAATCACCAACTCATCGTCCTCTTCAACATCCAAGTTATCCCAGAGCGCCGTAACAGGTGTAATTTGAGCAGCTGGAAATACAAGCAAGCAATCATATCATTAATCATAACGATAGAATGATAACATGTTTTGGGACAAGAAGCGATAATAATAATAATAATATTGATAATAATAATAATAATAATAATAATGATAATAATAATTATAACAATACTCATGCCTGTCAGACTTTACACTTATTATTAGTTGAAGATGTATTGAGGTCGAAATGAAATATGCATCAAACAAGCTACCAACAAAATATATAATCGTATGTGAGTAGGTGTATATACATACATACATTACTATTTCAATAGCCTAATATTGGATGAATTGTATATAACATGGGCTCATCACGAACGGGCTGAGATGGAAAGCATTTTAAACTGATAATTTATTATAAAATTCAAATAACTAACCTGCTCTTCTGGAGGTGACGATGAAAGTTTCCTCTATTTCATTGAGGAGTACAAGAGCCTGTCCAATGTTATTTGCGAAGTCGCCTAAGCCAGACGTTAGTGAACATGGGCATGGGATGGTATCCTGAGGGTGAAATGAACGCACATCGATCATCGATTGATTATGGATAGGACATTTGGGAAATTTTGATCCATTAGATTTACTGACGATACGAACGAAGTGAGGTATAATATTTTACAAAGAATGACAATTTTTTTTTCAAGCACTTCCATAATCTCCGATTCCCAGTTTTTTAATAAACAAAGATTGGCATATTTCTAGTTATTCAGTTTTTAGGACTAAGGTTTGCATCACAAAAGAAATTAAATATAAAAGTTCCCGTTATCGTGCCTATTCTCAATACAACGTTTTAGAATGATTGATTTGAAGGACATATCAACCAATCTATACAAACCGTTTTGTTTGATTTTTGGTTCCAAAGGAATCCCTTGACGTCTTCAGTCAGCTCACTCACGATATCCAATGCAATCTGATTAGTGGTCAAACACAATAGGATAACAAATCAGGGAAAAGTCAAGTAAACATTCTAGTTTTTCATTGATAATCTGAATAAAAATTGCCCACTAATCTGATTCCAGTACGGACCAACATTATTCAATCTCTCAGTGAATGTACTTGTGAATTTATTGGGGGGGGGGGGATATTCAATATCAATGTATATGTATTTTTTCTTCTACTTCTCCTCCTTATTCTTCTTTCAGATCATCCGCACTACAACATTCTGTGAACATTTCCTGGACTGCAATAATCTATAATTATTTGAGAAAAGATTTAGTCATTTGAAAGAAATCCCTGTTACTTCGGACTCTTAACAATGTGTAATATAAATAAATGTGTAGGGTGAATTACAGTAACAAAATATAAACTGTTAAACTAGGGGTTATTAGAGAAACAATTATTGCCATGGTGTCTTAAGTAGGATGAATAGAGTCCCTTCAAATGTTCTAGACTATGTCCAGTCCACAGGAGGGTTGATTTGAAATGAAGAAGGATGTTAATTTTACCTGCAGGTTTTCTAAAAGTTCACTTTGCATGGCATCTTCGGTGTCTGTGCGTTCAAGTGTAGTAGTGAAGAGCTGAGTAATGACTTCTAAGTCCTCAGCATTAGTAACCTTATCATCTGACTGCACAAATTCAAGCTCGCTGTGCAGAATCCAAGTCGCCTCGTCGATCCCCAGCTTCTCTTGACCTTCCAACATGTCAATCTAAACAAACGTTTAAAAGAAAATGATGCAATCAAAATACCAGCATACTTCGAAGTTGTGAATATGAGTAGACTAGGCTTAACACTTTTTCTGCTCAAAATAATGTACAACGCCATTTAAAAAAAAGCAAAAGGAAATGCATTTATGCTTTTGACACATATTTGCTACATTGGTACGAGGTGATTTTGATTCAATTTCTAAACCTTTTGGAAGAACTTGGTGCTTAGTCATTCGTGACAGCACAGTTGCGAATAAGATATTGAGCATAGTTACCCTTCATTATCATTATGTGAAGAAATTTCAACATGGTAGGGTATAAAAATTACTTCATGAAAAGCTTTAAAATTTGTGTATATTTCTATCATACACACTTTCAGTATGCGCTATTTATATTTGTAGTCACTAATTTCATATTATTATAATGCAACTAAAATTTACATGATGTTGGTCTAACGACAACCATGCACAACGCACTCAACAGACGCTCTAAAGTTACTAGGCAACTTGATACAACTATCCTGATGTTAGTAGGCTCCTAGGAGGTACCTATATGTAAATACACCAAAATGTATAAACAATTTATAGTAATTATGTGCCTTAATTCTAGTACCATGATTTCATCATCGAATTGATTGAAAATTGATAGGAGATTAGAATACCATGGGTTCGATTCCCGGCAAAGCAATGATATCCTTGTACAATGTAATTTGGGATATTCGGTAGAATGCGAAAGTCATTGCCTTATGCTACAAAACTCTATAGAAAGATTTCTTACCATACTAGCAATGTCATCCGCGTCGTCTAGAATTGCTCGTGCTGTCAAAGGAAAGGAAACGATTCTCACTATTAATCCATTAAATCTTAAGATAGATAAAGATGGAAAGTGTTACTTGGCATACGCCATATTAATAAAAAAAAAACAGGTTTGGGTTTGGGTTTGGCTCAGTCAGTAGAGCGTCCGCCTCACAACCGGGAGGTCATGGGTTCGAACCCTGGCCGCGTCATACCAAAAGACGTTAAAAGATGGGAGTTGTTGCTACCTTGTTTGGCGTTCAACAATAAGAGATAGAGCAACGTCGATCTGGCGCTGCTCAGTGGTTGCCGGGCTCACGATCAATTGGGCAAAAGGAATTTCCGTTTCGGTTTAATAAAATTTGGAGTGGACTATTAGGCTATTTTTATTATTTAAATGAAAGGAATAAAAAAAAAATACGACATTTATCTTTTTAACGCCATAATCACAGCGAAGGAATGAAGTCACAAATGAGCTAGAAATACGTTGTTTGTATTTCAGTCATCGTAGGCCTACGCTTAGGAACGTGCCTGTGACTTGTCCCGAGAAAATACGTTTAGTTCGTGACATTCACAATAAAACATGTCAGATATGTGACGGGTCACAATTAAAGATGTCAAGTCCGTAACAGTCACAATACAAGATGTAAAGTCCGTGACAATTAAGTCACAATGAAACGTGTCATAGTTATGTGACGGGTCACAATAAAAGATGTCAAGTCCGTGACAGTCACAATATAAGACGTCAAGTCCGTGGCAAGTCACAATAAAAGATGTCCAATATGCGACAAGTTACACAGAATGTTGTTAAGTATGTGATACGCCACAATGAAAGATGTCCAGTCCGTGAAAATCTATAATGAAAGACGTCTAGTCCTAGCTGGCACGTGATGAACTTGATATAAGTTGAGTTTCTCACGTTCACTTTGATTGAAAAGATGTATGATCTCTTCATCCCCGAGTGGTCGATTCCAGATCGCAAACTCGTCAAAAGACACTCTATCCCTTCAATTATAAGAAAAAGAAATAAGTCGTTAATACTTCTTTGTTAACACTACATACATTATTTCATCTGCGAAATATTTTCATTAGATATTGTGCCTTTTTAAAACTTTGCCTTTGCTACCATTTCTTACAATGTTCCGGAGATGCAATGGGATCTGATGCTGAAAATCATATATATTTCATTGCCTTTTACACACGTGGCGCTCCCGGGGCACAGGGCTTCCCACTATTTCAAGTACCCCAAAAGTCTCCCCCTTTTCACAACAGAAAAGTGCCTCTTCGTTCTTTTTAATAGGTGCCCGTTCCACATTCTTCTAAATGCCCCATTCCACTTCTGATGATTGCCACTATTCCGATCTGTGAGGTGTCCCTTCTAAAGCACCGGTCCCTTTACCTTCTCATAAATACCCCTTTGCACCTCTTATTAATGCTCCTATTAAAATCTGATAGGTGTCAAGTTTCTATCGACAAGACAGTGAGCTTTTTCCTTTGTAATAAAAAGTGCCCATTTTCAGGTACAAGAAGTGCCTCTTACTATCTCTGATAAGTACCAGCTTTATGTTGAGACGGGCTTCGTTTCTTTCTTTTCTAATGAGTGTCCTTTTCCCTTCTGCAGGGTGACCCACCCACTTTGGAAGACACTCTGCCGCCCCTGGTCCGTTCAAATATACTAGGCTATGCGAACAAAGGGGTGGTCGATCAAATTTGTTAGCAATAGCCAAATAATACTCTACGGAGTGAACAAAAGTTTATCATTTTTAAAACCCCGGCAAGGCTCGAAGAAGAAGAAGAAAAGAAATCTAACAGAAAACGATGAAATGTGGTCCGTCACCCATCATGCATTCTTCCATGTATTCTCTTACCATCCCAAGAAGAGAGGTCCGTCGTGAATGACATCCATACAACCCTCACAGATCTCAAATGTATGACATACGAAACAGGTCAGGTTCTCCGGCCATACACAACCACGGAATTCAACTACGAAGACAAAACATATCAATGCCTCTCTCAACAAAATTGTTGTGATCTTTATTTGTTTACAAGTCAATATTTATGGCTGTAAGGAAAATGGGGATTATGTATAGAGGGTATTTACAACCGAGATCTGAAATCTGTTCAAAAAAATGAAAAAATAAGAGAAGTTCTTTGATTTAAAAAATATTTCATATAATTTTGTTGGATGAAAAAAATCACATCCAGCTTTATTTAAAGATATAATTTAGTCTGTATAGTGTATTTAAGATGGTTCATCCACTACAGCAGTGTTTACATGACTGTTCTCTGCTCAGTTTTTGCGTGATTCTCAAGAGACCTGTTTATTTATGTATTTCAATGTTGCATGTTACTCTCAAGAGACTCTGGTTTCTAGATATTTAATACACCTACCATTCACAATGGAATTTCTATTGATGGAATCCGATTAGCATAAATTTCATGTTGCTATGTCTGACAAGTCTCTGACAAGGTCTTGAGTGGTCTAGAGCAACATTTGTTCAAGAATCATGCATAGAATTAGTAAACAAAAAAAAGGGCACCGTCTCACGAAACCGTTTTAAGTACAAGTTCACCAACATCCCATGAAAACGCGTGTTAAATTTACATGAGGTTCAATGATATCTCGGCGAGCTTGTACTTTTGACAGTTTCGTAAAACGCTGCCCAGGTCTCTTCGTGCACGAATAACACATGGTGTGTAATCGACAGTACGAAGAGCAATATAATTTCTAGCATACTGAAACTGTTATTGCCGACGAGAAAATATATGTCACTTGTTTCGCCTATACAGACATCCCACTGACCTACAGTGATGGGATTTTCATTCAGCTCCCCACCCATCAATTCTTAACTAAGGAAATGAAGTCATAAAACGAAAATCAAATGTAAAGACAATTAAATTCAGTTTAGTTTTGATCAATATGGAACTATAAGGACACATGGAAGATAGTACAGATGACTTATATATAAAACAAATGGGAATTTTTAAAATGAAGAAAACGAATAGAATGCGTACCGCCCTTCCACGAAGCGACTACGAATGTCCAAACAGACGATGATGCATCGATGACATCTTGAAACAATGACCACGTCTCCGAACCCGTCGTCAGGATCGCGTCATTCGAAGAGTACTTGCAGAATGAATAATTCGAGTACTCGGATATGTCTACATGAAAACAGCAGAATAAAGAACTTGCTGCTGTTAAAATGATAAATGTTTCATAAGTATCATTCATAAATTTGAATAGTTAGAATCAGGAAAAATATTTTACATTGCAGGAATTAATCCAATTTCAGAGAGACATACATAATTATTTTAGATCATCAATCAGCTCCCTGTATCTTGTGGGAGTTTAGAAGATTTTTAAAGACCATATCCGAACTAAAAGATGAAATGAATGAATTATAATCAACTGAAAGCTTATAAACCATATATTACAATTATATGCCACTTTAGTGTCTGTCAGAGGAGTATCAGCTCTCTGAAACTCAAAATCGAAAGCTTTGAAAATCGAAAGCTGTCGACCTAAAAACTTGCTATCGACTTGATGACACCATCTTAAATGTGGAGTATGCATGTTCACAATGACTCTGCATTAATTAAGCACGGATCATCGCATCAGCTATATAAGTGAACCGATGGGGGTCCACATGGTATTTCGTCACTGTAACTTCGGCAAAATTTGACCCATGTTGACCCGTAATTTGGAGGGGGCTGAAATGATGTTTTAATTGTTTTTGTGCAATAATGAAAGGGTAAATATTTGTTATTCCTTTATGATTGTATTCTACATTCATTAGGTTTTCCATTTATATCAAGTTGTATTTTCATCGGGTAGGGTCTTTAAGCCAAGACGGGGCGAAAGACGAGCGCCAGGATCAACCCATTGCCTATGCGTACCACGTGATACTTGGTGTTAGTCTTTAGATAATGGAGATGCATGAATTGAACCTCGAGACTGTGATTAACAGAGTTTAACCATGTCCTTCAAAGAGTGCAAAATATGTGTACTCGATCCTTTGCCAAAAATGATGCAAAACGTTTGATATATTAATAATAAAAAAAAAATTAATTGGCATCAGAACATTTTTTTTAAAAGAATACATTTTGTTATTATTAGTGTGATTCCCAAAAGTTTTTGACCTTGTGCGAAGAGATCGCTGATCTTCAATATCAGCGGTCCATTTATGATGGTCATTTATGACGTGTATGGTTCCCCATTCCATATTTCGTTAGGTATCAAACGTAAATGTGACTAGACAAAGGTAACTCACCATCTGTTCTAACAAGACAGGTAAAGTTTCCTAGTTCACCAACCGATTCTGGAGTCTCCTGAGGGGCCGGAGGCATCTCCACCCAGAAGGATACAGTCGTACCAGACTCATAGCTGCAATAGTCTCCAGAACACGGCTCTAAACAAAATTAGTCACAAGGGCGTAGTGTGAGTCTATCCTCTGAAGAGGGGGGGGGGGGGCACTGGATTGAGGGCACCGCGGTCTTAAAAATGAAATTTTTTGATAACGAGGAAGGGGAGGGTGCATGCGAGGGATGGTACAGACCAATCGCGAGTCTTCTTTTCTCGTGATTTCCACCTTCCCCTCTATTCACCCTCCCTCTCTTTCTTTTTTCTTCTTTGATAGGGGGTGGGGAGGGTGGGGAGGGGGGGGGGGGAGGGGGAGCTGCGCTACCCGTTCTCCCTAGCTGTAGCAGTGGCGTACGCAAGATTTTTTCAAGGGGGGGGGGGGTTAAAATCGGGCCCAAAATTTCGCAACGACTCAGCTAGCCGCTGAATAAGCGGGGGGGGGGGGGGGGGGGGGGGGAAAGCGTACACTTTTTTTTGGAGTCCCTAAAAAATCGCAACGACTCAGCCAGCCGCTGAATAAGCGGGGGGGGGGGGGGGGGTAAGAGGACACTTTTTTGGTCTCATAATTTTAAAAATTGACATTTTGCTCCGTTGGGGGGGGGGGGGGGGGGGGGGAGGTCAACTTTTTTAGGTAAGCCATTGGTATAATTTTTTATTTAAAAAAAAAATACCAAAGGGTGGGGTTTTCCGACAAAATACAAACATAAAAAATACCTAACCCCCTAGGGCTTACGTATTTTGGAATCAGCAATGACTTTCATGGGAAAAAATTCCCTAAAGATTTTCAAAGACCATGTCTGCGTGTTAAGGGCGGTTAGTTTTTTTTTTTTTACGGATTGCCACATTCATAGTCAGACTCTGCAATTTGTTCGGAGAAGGAAAATTCGGAACAAATTACGGATGCTTCATCGAAATGCGTTTTATTTCATGAACTTTCAAGTTCATAATTACGTTTCATTAACAGGGCAAATCAATCATGGTAATTATATTTGTGTTGAGCTTTAGTCATCTTTCCAAACTTCTTAAAAAATTAATTTGTAGGCTTCATGCTGCATGCTGGAAGCTACTTACTTGACTTCGGTTGAAGCGTAAAGATGTCTGAAGAGCTCTCCGGTTGGAGGGCTTTTCCCATGTCTTTGTGAGAATCGACCACTTGAACCTGTGCGTCTTGGTCGCCCACATACTTCCCTGAGATAGCGTCAAACGTTTTCTGTGAAATGTAAGTGAGACGTAAAGAATAGTGAGGCAGCTGCCTCGAAAGAACACCAAAGAAAGGAGTTCTTCATTTTAAAGCATATCTGCACTAGTTTGGCCAGGAAGGATTAGACCTCCCTGCGTGGTCACTGACAGGTGGTTATCTCATCAAATCAGCTCTGAATTAACATAACAAAAAGGGAATCATGGGGGACCGACGGGTACCACTTAGCAGGCGCGCCGGAAGCAGTTTGGGATTGGGGGGGGGGGGGGGCAAACATTCCAGGGGGCTCACCTTCCGAGGGCAGTGACGTAATGAGAAAAAACGTTCGGAAGGGGGGGGGGGGGCAGACGAAAAATCTGCATCACCACCAGTCTTACACGTTACATGCAGGTCCCGCGGAACGTTTTTCAAAGTGAAGTATTAACGATCAGGTAGAGCGTAAATTGGCGTCGGGTCCAGCCTCGGCAGGGTGTCAAGGGGCTGAGCCCCCGGAAGCTCAGGGATTTTAGGTATTTAATTACGGTTAGATGAGCATCCAGGGGCCTCTTTAAGGCCATTGACGTGTTCCAGAGGGGGGGGGGAGCCCCCAGAAGCTCAGAGGTTTTAATATTTAACTACGGTCAGATGAGCAACCAGGGGCCGCCCTAGGGCACTTGGTGGGGTCCAGGGGGCAGGGCCCCCGGAAGCTCAGGGGTTTTAGGTATTGAATAATGGTCAGATGAGCATCCAGGGGCCCGCCTTATAGGGCCCTTGGTGGGGTCCAGGGGGCAGAGCCCCCGGAAGCTCAGGGGTTTTAGGTATTTAATAATGGTCAGATGAGCATCCAGGGGCCCGCCTTATAGGGCCCTTGGTGGGGTCCAGGGGGCAGAGCCCCCGGAAGCTCAGGGGTTTTAGGTATTTAACTACGGTCAGATGAGCAACCAGGGGCCGCCCTAGGGCACTTGGTGGGGTCCAGGGGTCAGGGCCCCGGAAGCTCAGGGGTTTTAGGTATTGAATAATGGTCAGATGAGCATCCAGGGGCCCGCCTTATAGGGCCCTTGGTGGGGTCCAGGGGGCAGAGCCCCCGGAAGCTCAGGGGTTTTAGGTATTTAATAATGGTCAGATGAGCATCCAGGGGTCCGCCTTATAGGGCCCTTGGTGGGGTCCAGGGGGCAGAGCCCCCGGAAGCTCAGGGGTTTTAGGTATTTAATTACGGTCAGATGAGCATCCAGGGGCCCGCCTTAGAGCCCTTGGTGGGGTCCAGGGGGCAGAGCCCCCGGAAGCTCAGGGGTTTTAGGTATTTAATTACGGTCAGATGAGCATCCAGGGGCCCGCCTTAGGGCCCTTGGTGGGGTCCGGGGGCGGAGCACCCGTAAGCTCTGGGGTTTTAGGCATTTAATTACGGTCAGATGAGCATTTTTTATGCCTTATTTGTGACATTGGCAGGTCACTTATTTTTTCTCTCCGTCTTTCTTTCTTTTTCTCTTTAACATACTTTTTCAAAAAGTGAGGGGGGAGGGGCTCTAGCCCAGCCACTTTGCAGACCATGTCATAAAGGCTTCTAAATAAGCGTATTTTTCGCCCGACTGTAATTTGGGAATTTCTTATTTTCCAACAAACGCATAAAAAGGTATGACTTAAAAAAAAATGGAGAAAAAATACCGGAAAATCATGTCATAACAGCAACATGTGTAAATCACTGGTATCGTATAGATATACCCCCCCCCCCCATCAGTACGCCAGCGTTCAGGGGCTCATGTCTTCTCACCCCTATAACAAAACCAAAAAAACAGACACGTTTTCCCATTCTCGCACAATATGTCCACGATATGCGCGTATCGCTATTATAAACCGTATAGGTAGCATGCGCAATGTTTATAAAAATTTAATTCCTGTGAACTTTCCTTTTCTTTGAATGGAATGGTATATGTGCTTTAATTCAGGTTTTTATTATTGTTATGTTCTTTTGGGTTAAAAATACAAACCATGTTTATTCCTTTACTGCTTTTTTTTTTTTTTTTTGGAGGGGGGGGGGGGGGGCGTTTTGGGGGGGCAAAAATGCGTTTTGCCCCCCCACTTTTTTGACTGGGGGGGCAACTGCCCCCCCTGCCCCCCCACTTCCGGCGCCTATGCCACTTAGACATTGTTTGCTATATAGAGGGCACAAGTAGCTACAAGTAATGCAGTCCTGCTTAAAAGGAAACTGTCACAATCTATGTCTATAATGCTGACACGGGTGCACCAGTCGGCTTGATTAAGACATACAAACGCGTCCCTCTACTCATGCTCTATTACAGTCACGTTAATGTGATAAGCATTTGATTTATCATAGTCAATTTACCCTTTCAAGACACAGAATTGTCAACTCGTACATAATCTGTTTTTACACTTTAATCTCGCTATTTCATGCAAACATTCCGCATAACCCCTTATAACCCGATAATGATATGCCCTGAAACAAAGACGTCAGAAACATCAGAGTGTGGATTTTTATTTCCTAAAAAGATGGCCATTTTCTGGTTTACAGAACTTTGAATAAGAAGAGATAAGTCATTCTTAAGTACCTAGCTACGAGTTCTGATCATTATGTACGATGTAGGGTATTTTCAGAAATATAATTTAACTGTGTCTGTCCCCATAGTAACTATGTCAGGTTCATTTTATCTGTATTTAATCATACGGTGGAAGGGAGACTTGCTTTTAAGACCGACAATAAATTATTATTATCACCGTGACAACCAAAACAGTTCCTCACATAATTAATATATCAATAATGGGAAGGGATAGAATGGATGAAGAGACTGATGAGACGGCCAGAACAAAACAAAACGATTAAATAAACAAAATCGTGACTTTACCCCTTGATACCACACGTCCATTGGGTAATACACAGCAGCGTCATGGTATATGGTGATCACTGAGAATACAAAAGAAAGAAGATATTTGTATTGTCACTGAGCTCAAAAGGATGTGTATTCAATCCCATTGGGAAGATGGAATATTCATTAATTGAGAGAGAAAGAGAGAGAGAGAGAGAGAGAGAGAGAGAGAGCGAGAGAGAGAGGGGAGAGAGAGAGAGAGAGAGAGAGAGAGAGATGTTGGTTAGGTGAAGGGAATTATAGGGAAGGTGATGAGACAGAAAGGGGTAGTAGTTTTGATAAAGGTAGAGACTGGACAGCATAGCAGTGCAATAAGAAAATGAACGGAAATATAAAAGAGGGAAATATAGACAGTAGAACCATAATACAAATATAAAACGTTACACAAGGTGGACCAAACATCAAGAGCATTGTAATACTTAATCAAGCGATGCAAGTTCGAGATACAAACGAGTACCGGTGGCCTTTCTGGTCGTTTATCTTCACATATTCATACTACATTCTAAACGTACAATTTGTGTACTTTGTCTCCATTAACCACTTTTTTCTTCTCTCTATCTCATTCTTAATGTTTCTTTCATTTCTCTATATCCCTTCCACATTCTCTGCAACAAGTATTCACTGGTAGAATTCAATCAAAATGTTAGCACGTATAAATTATTTGATAGATTGAGGAGCTCGCGCAGTGCACTCTTCACTTTGCACAGCACTCTCTTCACCCGCTCTTTCTTCCTGTCTCCTCTCCTCCTTTTGTAAGGCCGGTATCATTTCAAGCTCTGCTTACGATATCGGTCTTCTGCATTCTCCCCCTTTTCTTTCTTTTCAAATACGATTAATTGTACTATTGATTATTTATATTTATTTATTTGTGAATTACTACTTGTATTACTTATCATTATATTGCTAAAATGTATTCATTGTTATTTTTGTTATTGTTTATGGAAAATGCAGAGATAAAACTTGAAACTGAAACTAGAATTAGTAGAATTCAATCAAAAATGCAAACATGCATACACTGGTAGAATTCAATCAAAATTTCAACATGTATACACTGGTAGAATTCAATCAAAAATATGAACATGTATACACTGGTAGAATTCAATCAAAATGTTAGCATGTATAAATTAGTAGAATTCAATCAAAAATGTCAACATGTATACACTGGTAGAATTCAATCAAAATGTTAGCATGTATAAATTAGTAGAATTCAATCAAAAATGTGAACATACACTGATTGAAAAGACAGGTATACTAACGTATTCAAATTTTCGGATATTTTCTATTTTTCTTTCTTGGAGGCACAGTGACGAGTTATTCCATTAACCTGTTATTAATGAAGAACTACTTTACTTGGAATACATTCTGCATACATTACTTATTGCAATGTCGGGCAAGCCTCAGACAAGTTATCAGATCGTCAAGAACAACCTTTGTTTGAAAAGTATACATACAATTTGAATATGTTATTAAACTGGTCTATTCAATCTGAAGGTCAACATGTATACACTAATAGAATTCAATCAAAAGGTGAAATGATAACTAACCTCTCCTTATTTGACAAATAGAACAAAGTTCGAAGTCATTTTGATTCGCAGGAGACAGGATTGCTTTGGCGACACCATCAGTCTTCTTTAAACTCCAATACTTGCTCCTTGTAGTTGCACTTGAGTCAAAGACACTGACAACAAAATGATAGGGAGCATCGATGGATTCTTAGATATGAACAGATACTTTTTGTGTGCAAATTCATCATTTGTTTCATGTAACTTTGAAAAATATACGCGATGGGACAACACTGGATTGGGACAATTTAATCAAGAGAACTTTGTAGCGTAGTGACTCGAGAAGAAGAAAGAAGAATGCAAAATATTAACAGGTAATCACTGAATTACGTTATTCACATGAAAACAAGGTATAACGCTGTACAAGTACACGTGAGTGTGATTGGAAACATAACTAGAAGGTTAAATGGTAGAATGTGCTACCTTTGAGATGTGACCTGTTCACCATTTCTCCATTGCCAAGTGCCAGCATCATACTCAAGACCAATACCACATGTACTGCATGTAAAAGAGAAAAAATAATCTTTAATTTACTAAACCTTTAGCCAACATGTCAAATAGGCCATGTCCGCGATGTAACCAAACTGATCGCATACACGTCTCTGTCATGTTTGTGAAGTGCCTCGATATGAAATATCTCAATCACCTGTTACGAATACAGAACTCGAATTACATACATTAGTTTGTTGCTAGGTGGGGCAAACATTATTGCTTACTCTATAGAGCATGTAAAATATGCAATTAGCAATCAGACTATTCAGATACAATTATTTATATCAAGGTACTTAAATCAGGGAGACGTATGCATTACATTTAGTTACCTTACGAAAATGGCCAATCGTGTTTATATTTGACTTGATAAAAGCGATAACTGAAATGTAAATAATATCTTTGAAAATGTTGCAAGAATAGGTGATATACTTATATAGTGGCACTGATTGGGCCTTATCGTGAGATTGGGGTGGGGGGGGGGATAGTATGACTAAGTGGATGAATTGCGAGGGAGTGAAGCGATCGAGTAGGAATACGTCAGGTCCGTTCACTATCTCTCTCTTGTTTAAATTTACTATTCGGTGTGGGAGGGGGTGGGAGGGGATGGGGGGGGGGCGGCCTGTGTCCATGCATTCCTAATCATATTTTGTATCACGTTAGGAATAAATCATGAAGTGACTGTCACCTGCTTTCCCACTTCAATGAAGAAATGTAGTTGAGTGTATCTTCATCATGCCATGTCGCCAGATCTCCGCCGACCACCGTCTTACAAGGGTCCGTTGAAACCGCGTTCTCTATTGCACCGTAGCACATGTGATTAAGATGTTTAAACTTCAGTGGACATCCAGTGGCTGTGGAAAGAAGAGAAGCCCCGATCGACATTTCATTTTCTTGAGAAGAAAGCTAGGTATTACAATGTATTCACCTTAAGCGTGTACACTCTGGATATATAGTGCGTATAGAAAAAGTACATGTATACCCAACTTTGGTAGATTCCCATTTAAAAGTTATTACCTGTGTGACCTATAATTATATTTCATCTTAAAGAGTATAAAAAATTCTGTATTATGATACCTATATATATATAATACTTTATTGCCATGGGTAATGGAGCAGCAGGATTTTAAAAAAGTATTATAAAGTTCCTCTTGCACCAAGTTTGGAGTAAAGTAATGATTGTGGTTCAAAAGCTAAGATACATTGAATAACTTTATACAATGAAGCATTAAGGCATGAGGCAGAATACTTGACAGGATTTATGACAAAAGTAACACATGCATATGGCGAAGCCTAAATTCGGTACATCAGCCGAATCTTGGTACAAAGAGATTTTGACGGCACTTTAAGAAACCCTGTTGCTCAGTCATCATTGGCAGAAAAATTGTGCATAGATAGGGTGTCATTTTACAGTAAACGAGTAAATTTAGGTTTACTTATTTTTTGTATACGCACTGTATTTACAATACTGAGTTTTAAGCAATGCATAGTTTAAAATTTACGTTTGCATTGTTTTATCCTTATTTGTTTCGTTTCTAGATAAAATAACAACGATTTTTGTTTGTATATATACATGTAATCTTTGATTTAATATAATATACTAACTGACGTACACTGCGACGCTACTGTATTGAAACACGTTGATTGTTTTAGAATAGGGTAATTCTTGGTACAGCAGCATAGTATTTAAGTGTAAAGGTGTCGTGATAAATTTGATATAATTTCGTGAATTCTTGTCTGAATTTTGATCGTCTTTATCGACAATGTATACGGTTCTAAAAGACTCATTAGCTTCGTTTCAAAAGATGGTATATACTAGCTATCAATTAAACAAAAATGTCCCGGCGATGATTTAGAACATCTTCATAATGAACAATCATAATAAGCAAATGGAAAGGTGAATTACTTACTCTTTGCAAGCCCTTTATCGAGAAAAATAAAGAGAAAATGGGAAAAAAAAATATTGTGAAAATAAATCTAATGTGGCATCAGAGATGATTGTGTGAAACTCTTTGATTACAATACCATAATATATGGATGCTAACGCTTCTCCCCTTCCCTTAACTTTGTCATTGTGTACATGTCATGTTTTTTATTTCTTTTGTGTCAATTGATTGTAAAATGTTGTGTTTGATTGGTTTGAATAAACTTGAACTTGAACTTGAACTTGAACTTGATGTAAACAATTATCTGTAAATACTCCCTGGGGTACACATCTACAGTCACTGAAATAGTCACGTGTTATCAAAACATTGTTACAGTCTCTATCACCCTATTTAACACTCGGGGATATTTTGAAAAGGCCGTTACTGAAATATTTAAATTCCCTGGAAATTAATGGTTACAAGGTCAAGTATTTAATGAATCCACTTGAAAATGAAACACGATGCATTCCCCTGCAATCTATTAAACTTACTTGAACCTGAAGCGGCAAGGGTTTGTTGAAAAAGAACAGTGGCAAACACCTGGTAAAAAGATAGAACTGGGTCACGTAATTGATTGATTGATTGATTGATTTTTATTTCATTTCATATAACAATTGTTTGCACAATAAAGAACACATAGTTTACAAAGTATAAGTTCAAAATTATGAAATGAAACAGGAACCTACTGGAAAGCATAGCGTGTTTTTGTACGTTCCCAATAATAAATATAATACGAACATTATTTTCATAAATAATTTTAAATTGTCTTAATAATCACATTGAAATAGATATAATATAATAACATATTTTCATGAACCCTTTAAAAGTATTTAAATAGTCGAAATATAAAAAAAGAACAGAATTACAAAAATTACATAAGTTCAAAATTATGAAATGAAACAGGAACCTACTGGAAAGCATAGCGTGTTTTTGTACGTTCCTAATAATAAATATAATACGAACATTATTTTCATAAATAATTTTAAATTGTCTTAATAATCACATTGAAATAGATATAATATAATAACATATTTTCATGAACCCTTTAAAAGTATTTAAATAGTCGAAATATAAAAAAGAACAGAATTACAAAACGGGTCACAAAGGACAGGAAACTGACATAATAAGATAAGACAAAGACATGACAAAACAATTCATAACAGGACAATGGGTGAATGAAATCAAAAGTTATAGTAAGTGGATAAGAAATAATAATAAGAATCTGAACACAATACCTCATCAAAATTATATTGTGAAAAGAAGCTCTTCACACATATCTCATAAAATTTACGTGACAATTAATTTACTTACACATATTTCACTTAAGAGATATGAGAATTTTAACAAAATAAAATAAAATAAAAGGAAAATCCTTTAAAATTAATACTAAACATGCGATTTTAAAGTCCATGCATTTTGCATTTGGTCTATGATATCACTCTTGTAAATGAACAGTAAGAGTTGTATTTTAAAAAATAAATGATGTTTATTCTCTTTGCAGTGATATTCCTTTTGATGTGAAAAAGGTTATGTGATGTAATGCTAAATTTGTGGCGATTCCGCAATGAAATCTTGCAAAATATATTGCCAATAATAAAAGTGTTTTTGGGTACAGTTTTTTTTAGAGATAACACAAACCAACCCGAATCGAATTGAAACTGTCCGAAAATTAAACTGCACTAAAGATAGTTTGACTCACCACAGCAATTGAAGATATTCTCATGTTGGATAATCTCGACAATTTGTGAGCACATCAATGTGATTCTGCAATGTAATAACGCATCTATGAATAGGATATTCAGACAGCTCAGAATAAAGGGATAATGTATACGATCTTAGCAAGAGAAGAAACAGCAGTCTCTTTCCTTTCCTTAGTTACTCTCTTTTCACTTTTTCCCCTAGCTCTCGCAATTCTTCTTTTCTCAATACCCCCATCTTTGTAATCCTTTCGTGTCTCTCCAGCTTCTGACCCTCTTGATAACTAATCAATAAACTGTTCACCCTTTTTCATTTTATCATAATTGATTTGTTTCTCAATCCCCCTCTTTCAGATGATCTCCTCTATATGACTCTCTCCCACATACTGACTTTCCAAACTAATATCATAACATTATTATTTATCTCCATATGAATTTCGCTTTCATCTCTCTTTTTCTCATATTTTCAATTTACCTAATCCTTCTTCCTCTACTCATCTCTGTCTCTACGTCTCGCGTCAACTACCAATACTAATAACTCCCTAATAACCAATACGACGTCTTTGTTATCATTTATATCATTTGCAGACGATACGTACATTTTATGTTCACATCCTTGTAAATAATACACTTGAGAACGAGTTACCAAAATTGTCCCTGTGTTTTGAATTCATCAAATTGCCCTTAACATAAATAAAACATATTCCATAAAATTTATAAGCATGCACATTCTCATGTCACTGAAATCCTTACAAGATGGTCATAGAACATGTACCTCTCGAAAGAAACAGAGACACACAATTTTTGTTTGTCATTATCGACCAACATTTAAATTGGAATCAACATACACGCATTATAATTACTTTTATTATTAGAAATGTTGGTAGGAATGTTGTCCACAGGGTTTATTGTCCTATGGGGTAATTGTCCTAAGGCGGTAATTATCCGGGGGTAATTGTCCCGCTGGTAATTGAACGGGAGGGGGGGGGGGTGATTTTCTAGCCTAGTCAGAAGGCCACACTCGTATACCGTGAGAGTCAAAAAAAGTTTACACCTAGAAATTAATTATTTAAAAAATCCTCTATGAACAATGAATTATTATAATATGAAAGAGTGTTTTATCCCAAATCATTTGGTATCATTTAAGTGTGGTATGTGTTCACGCTTGGATGAACAGGAGGTATTGTTTGCGAGAGTGCAAAAATCGACTTGCGCCAAAGTTGCTTTGAAACCTCTTTGCAACTGATTCCAATCGCACGAATTCCCACCTGAGATTGCCTGCGCTTACTGCACAGGTTCGCATATCCTTGAGGGCCGGGGCGGGGGCTTTAGTTTCAGTACCTTGACAGCTAGTAACGACTTCCCCATCGTTTTTACGAATAAAGTTGTTAATTTATGGTGAAAGGAGGTATGAGTTGGTCTAACGGTGTGATCAGCTCTCTGTACTTGCCTATGTATCGACTCTAACGAACTCCACTTTGAAACCAAGTCACGTCTTTCGGCCGGACGGTGACGTGAAAGGTAAGTTCATATACTTTTTATTAATATAAATACATCTGTAAAAAACCCACACAATTACACACTCAAACATAATCACTATCTCAATGTAAATCACAATTTAAGGCAATTAAAGTACATCGTATCACATAAGTTTTAACAATGTGAAACCTACCTGATGATAACATTTCTTTAAGATGTCTCGTCCCTGACAAAGCCAACACGTCGACTGTTATTTTAGCAAAACCACTCTCCAAGCAGGAACACCTTTCTGTCTGATGAGCACTGTTTTTGCATAACTTCATTTCTCCTCCATAGCACAAAAGCACCATCAAAAACGCGACCGGCATACTTATTTTGATGATGCTGCTTGAAAAGGCTCTTAAATGAAACATGGTGTTCTATTTGGTAGATACTGCACGATTCGCCTTGACTACAACAATGCTGGCGGTTTTAATTGCTACTATTACGAGATTAATCGACTGCGCTGACGAGATCTTAAAATTGATGAATTCGTTAAGGGGGTACCTCACTGAGCGGCATAATATGCTTGCGAACGTAGCGAACTTGGGTTTCCGCTAGGGTTCGTATAAAAGCACGCGTAAAAGGTTCGTAAAAGGTTGCAAGAAAGTTCGCAAAGAGTTTTCTTCGTCGCAACAGTTTTTCTTGTCGCTTGTTCCGCAAATTTCTCTTCGAAGTTTTTTTTCCCGCAAACAGTTGCAAGCGTTTGCAAAACAGTCGTAATCCTTTGCAAACGGTTGTAAGACCGTGTCGCTGGAGTTCTTTTTTATTCGCCAATGCTAGCGACCACGTTACCACATGGTGAACCATGATGGTAATCAACCCATTGAGACCCATGAGTTAGAAAAAGGTACCAAACATTCACAAGTAGTGGCAAAGGATCGGCAATAGTTGCTAATCTTCGCAAAAACTGTCGCTAACATTTGCTTACAGTCGCTAATAGTCGCCAAATGCCTTTCGCAAACTTTCACTCATCAGATGTCGCTCATTGTCGCTAAACATAGCTAAATGTCGCAAAGGCGAACCCTGATTTTCGCCAACATTCGTCAGAAAAGTTGGCGAATCCAAATTCGCAACGTTGATTGATTGATTGGTTGATTGATTTTTATTCGCCAAGCTTCCAACATACAACAATATAAAAGAATAACAGATCAAAACTAAGACAGCTTGAATAGGATAGCCCACGAAAGCTCTACAGCTTATTTCCGATGGGGTTCCCGACATACATGTATAAATTGATATTAAGTTAAAACTTACTTACAGACAGATAAGAAAACAAACTTATTAAAGATAATAATGATGATAAGAATAATAACAACATTAAACTGATGATAGAAATGATAATAAGTGCAAGAAGAAAAGAAGAAAACTTAAGAAAGTTTGCTGTAGTCAACATGAGTTGGACCACAGAAGTTGATGAAACTCACCATTTCGTTCTGTATAATTTTCAAATTCTTTTGATCTGACTCGTTATATTACTATACCATGCAGGGTTAACATAGTCAAATAAACATTGAATAAGAGTAAAACAGGGTATACGTCTTGCTTTTAATCCATACAACTTTAATATCTGTACAAACATTTCAGACGAAAATTTTCTTTTATTACAAATGATTCTACTAAAGATGAAAATGAAATTGCGCTAGTCAACTCAATGCCTAAATATTTCACAGATTCTTTTCTCTTGATTATTGTGTGTCGTTTTGAATTCAACCGACTTTTTAAAACTAATGTTAGAACAAAATTAAATGGTTTTTGTTTTTCGCTATTGTAAAGAAAGCTTATCAGTTATCTAATCGACATACGTAGACAGCTGTTCCCTGAGTTTTCCCTCAAAATATTTTGGATTAGGATTTGAATAGAGGAGTACGCTGTCATCTCATCTACGATAAACATTCGCGATGAACACATTATGCTCCTTTCGCGTGTAAAATGATGCCGCGGACAAGATAGCGAGCAGAGAGATCTGACATATCGAGACAAGAAATTAGTAGACTGAGGTTATCCTACGGATTGAAATAAAGTTCTATAAAACCCTAGATACATTGCATCATTTTAAACAATACAACTCTAATGCACGAGGCATAATTTAACTTTTGAAAGAATTTAAGACCGAAGAAATACATGCAATTCGACCCACATTCCCATGCATCAGCCCAAATTTGGTACAATACGATTTTGACAACACTGAACACTGGTGCTCAGTCACCCGAGGCAGAAAAATTGTGAATATAGGGTATCATTGGATAGAAAACAATTTATTCTTCATCATGAAGATCAGACTGGAGCATGATTTCTCGCAGGGGAGCAAGGGGACACACCGTCCTATGCACCTTAGTCAGTAAGTCAAGTCATGAAATAGATTTAACTTCATACTGTTATGAGTTTTAATTAAAAGCTATCAAAATTGGGAATATTTTTTGTATACGCACTGTATGCAGAAATATTTAACTTTAGTCTTCTCTGGGGTATTGAAATATGCAGTCGTCATGAAGCCGCATTTCTCCATGAAATCGGTGGGGGGATCGGGGAAAAAGTGAATTGAGGTTTTGAAAACCTGAATGGTGTATATGGAGTAAAACAAAATCTCTACCCAAAAATTGGGAAGCGCTGAGAATCTAGTTTTTGATTTGATTTGATTTATTGGTTTCTGCATCTTTTTTTTCTTTTTTCATCATACATTTTCATGAACATAATATGGTTTGATATAATATTTTAAGTGTATATAATTTTATACAGATAATGAACGAATTTAAACAAATATATTGAATGCATAATTAACATACATTAGATGCAGGAGGGCTACAGAAATAAGCAAAATAGCTTGACGTGCCCGCAGCCCTCAACTTAGATACAACAACAATAACAAATAAAAATAGAAAAGACTGACTTGCAGAGAAGAAAAGGAAAGGGGAGAGAAGGAGCGTTGGTAATAACACAATAAATCTCGTACATCTGCTGATTGAAAGCAGGTTCATTCATAAAATGGCTAAACGATGCTAGGTCATGGACGAGTACACATCATTATTGAATATACAGTCACTGTACACACGAACATGAATACAGTGCAATTACACACGACATGATCAATACTTAGACAATAACATAGTTTTAACTGCCTTCTTAAATGAATACAATGAGTTCAAGTTAAAGTTTATTTGTCTTTCTTCCAACATGATTGTAATACAATGTAACACATTTATAATATATAAAGTATATAAACAGGAACAATTGTAATGAACAAGTTCATATATATATTTTTTTGTATTTTTGTATTTATTAACATTTATTTCCTTCTCAACAGTACAATATGAAACACAATGTATATATAAATGATATATGTAAGTTATTTCAACATAGAGTATACAGTAAATAATTCAGATACGGAAGGAGGCGAAAACCCGGAAAGCATAGCTTGAGTTGGGAACGCCCATTATAAGTTAATATAGTTACCGAGAGAACATTATAGATATTATTATATCATATAATGCATTAAGTGCAAAAAAGAAAGAAAGACGAGGAGACCGTAAGAAAAGCTTAGCTTGTAGAGGTCAGGTCCCTCAAAACAATATCATATTGACAAAAAACAACAACACAAAACAACCAGCCTGATTATATAGTAGATTAATACAAGAAAAGTTCGTCAAAGGCGTTTAAGTAGGCCTACTAAAACGAATAACTAAAAACTATAACCATATGATTATAAACATGGTTTAACTGAGTTTAAAAAAAGGGTGGGGAGAAGAGACTAAGGGGGCGATAATAACGTGGGATATAGAAATGGAGACGGAGAGAGGGGGCGGGAGAGGGAGAGGGAGGGGAGAGAGGGAGGGAGAGAGAGAGAGAGAGAGAGAGAGAGAGAGAGAGGGGGGGGGGAATGGACATACTTTCACTGTAATCTAACTTTTACCGAGAAATGACTTTTGAGTTTAACTGAATGTGACATTTTAAAATCGTTAGGAAATCTTTGAAAAATTGGGGCCAAAACCTTAAAAATCTAAAGGAAATCCATATACTTACAAAGACGTTAACAGGGCCCTTCTCCAGTTCAGCAAAATACAATTTTCACCTAATACCTGTATAGCAATGTTTTCCCGAGATGACTTTTCCCACCCTACGACCAATAGCTTTTTTCCTCCTCCAATTTGTCGTCTTTTCGACACCATATTTGGTAAATGTATTAATTTGGGTTGCTAGATTTAATTTAAGGAGCTATAAGCAGTTTGTGGAGTCCTACATTAGCCTCATCAGTTTATTTTGTCATTGGATTATTCTCTGTATTGGTAAGGTAGTTTATTTATACTCTGAGATTTAAAAAAAAGAGAACTTAAAACCCCATGATAATACAGTGAGTAGATCTATGATAACCTCGTACTTGTGTGAGTAGGGTGTCCCACGTATTAAAATTTGTGTTGGTAGGTCGCGCCAACCTGGTTGCGTACTCGAGATGTGTGCACACGCATAGCCATGGTGGATTACACATACCAGCGTTATGTATAAAGTTTGGAGACACTCGCTCCAGCAAAGCATAGCGAGTCAATGCTAATGTGTATTGACCTCTAGCGCTGCACTACGTGCTAAAAGGCGACAATTGCACGCATGCATAGTAGATACACACATACACACAAATGGGGTCCAGACAACTCGCCACAAAGACAACCCGCCCCAAGACAACCCGCCACAATACCCTGGACATCCCGCCACAATACCCTGGACAACCCGCCACAATACCCTGGACAACTCGCCACAGCCTTTTCGGACAACTCGCCACACTTTTTCCCATCATGATTTCTAGATCTAAAATGAAATGAAATTGTCATTTTTCATGATTTTCGTGCTTTTATAAACACAGTCATTACAAAGAATAAAGAATAAAGTTGATTTCCCTAATTGTAACAATAATATATATTGAAATGAAATTGTCATTTTTCATGATTTTCGTGCTTTTATAAACACAGTCATTACAAAGAATAAAGTTGATTTCCCTAATTGTAACAATAATATATATTGAAATGAAATTGTCATTTTTCATGATTTTCGTGCTTTTATAAACACAGTCATTACAAAGAATAAAGTTGATTTCCCTTGTAACAATAATATACTTTTGATCTAGAGGTCTATAACAGCTGCATTTTTCTGTCCCAGAATTTTTTTAATGGTAGGATACTGGAAGCACTGGCGTACTGGGGGGGGGGGGGGGGGTGGGCAGTTGACCCGCGAAATAAAATTGGAATGTGGTTTATTTCTAGATTTTCTGGGTTACTTTCGTGATATAAATAATTAAATATTGCTATATTTCTGTTTATGTGGCAAGGGTTTATTGCAAAGGTCCATGTCATGTAAATTGAAATTTAATTATGAAATACATTCTCATGAAACTCGTAATGCTGGTAATTTTCATTTTCCTAAAATTCCGTACAAATTAATGTTTTAAAGGGCCAGTTTTATGGAAAAATATCCCGTTTAATATGAAAAACTCTAAATAAATTAGTATTTTTAAACGATTGTATAAATCCCATATTCTATCATTGTATTCCAGTCAAAATAAATGACATTACGTTTAAGTTAATGCACTTCTCCTTCCCTTTTTTCTTCTTCTTGGTGTTCAGGCTCCCTCTGCTTTCCCTTTCCCTTTTTTTCTTTTCTCAACAATACAGTATATACTTGCTAAGGGATTGACGCTAATAAGGCTAATTGCCCTTTTTGTTAACCCCACATTTTTCTTGTAATCAATCTTTTATTGAGAGCGAGTTCTGTGTGATCCTGTATAGACTGGATATTACGCTAAGCGATAGGATCGCTGATAAGATAAAATTTCATTTGACTCTATGGACCCCCTTCAGGGGTATGATAGCACTACATATTTACAACACAATACAGAAAAATATATAAAACAAAGTATATGATAATAAAATACATAGACATGATTATATACATTTTTATATTTCTAAAACACAATAAACATGAGCTAAAGACTAAGTATACCCTACATACAATTTAAAGTTATAAGTCTAAAATATCACGTGGATTGGTTTGTCTACCACTACGAGTAGGCCTATTACACTTTTAGTAACAAAAATAGGACCACGCCTTTTAGCATTATGATCCAACAAAAAGAATTGTATTATAACTGTTATGAATTTTAAGAGTTTTCTTAATTGCTTAACGCTAGATATACCATGTTTGTATGTTTTAATATTTTTTTAATGGAGAATGATATCAAATGAATTGAATTGAATGGAACGTTCCATATCCTCTCGATTTCTATCCTGAGGTCTTCATACTTGAGACGTCTCTTTCTTTGATGGCGATGTTGATGTCATGGGGAACGATGACCTCGATGAAATTTACTTTGTTGTTGTCCCTGAAGACAATGTCTGGATTCTTGCAGTTATTATTAGTACTTTTTATTATTGTTGTCGTCATCATCATCACCGTCGTCGTTAAATTGTAATCATCATCATCATTATTATTATTATTATTAGTAGTAGTAGTAGTAGTAGTAGTAGTAGTAGTGAAGTAGTAGTAGTACTATATTTCAGTGGGGAATATATTTGTTGTCACTGCCAGGATTACCAAAGAGGCCGGGACGAGCATTCCTGACATCGCAACTAGTTTGGCGCGCCGGAAGCACTTTGGGATTGGGTTGGGTCACTTGGGTGGGGGGTGGGGAATATTCCAGGGGGCTCACCCTCCAGGGGCAGTGGCGTAATGCGCAAAAACGTTTTTGGGGCAGAAGAAAAATCTGCATCGCCACCACTCTTACACGTAACATGCAGGCCCCTGGCGGAACGTTTTTTGAAGTGGAGTATCAACAATCTGATAGAGCGTATATAGTGAGCAAAGTGAGTTGAGCGCAAATTGACGTGGAGTGGGGTCCAGGGGTCAAGGGGTGGAGCCCCCAGAAGCTCATGGGTTTTATGTATGTATACTTACGGTCCGATGAGCATCCATGGGCCCACGTTAGGGCCCTTAGTGGGTTCCAGAGGACGGAGCCCCTGTAAGCTCAGGGGATTTAGGCATTTAATTACGCCAAGATGAGCATATTTTGAAACATCATTTGTGAAACTAGCAGGCCACTCGTTCTTTCTTCCTCTTTCTCTTTAACATACTTTTTCAAAAAGTGCAGGCCCTGACATAAAGGCTTCAAAATAAGCTGATCCAATCTGATCCACTCGCTCGACAAAAGCAATGTAATCGAGCCATCACCAGAACGCCGCCGCCGCGAAAAAGCGTTTGGTAGACCAGTGCTTCCAGTATCCTACCATAAAAAAATTCTGGGACAGAAAAATGCAGCTGTTATAGACCTCTAGATCAAAAGTATATTATTGTTACAAGGGAAATCAACTTTATTATTTTTAATGACTGTTTATAAAAGCACGAAAATCATGAAAAATGACAATTTCATTTCAATATATATTATTGTTACAATTAGGGAAATCAACTTTATTCTTTATTCTTTGTAATGACTGTGTTTATAAAAGCACGAAAATCATGAAAAATGACAATTTCATTTCATTTTAGATCTAGAAATCATGATGGGAAAAAGTGTGGCGAGTTGTCCGAAAAGGCTGTGGCGAGTTGTCCAGGGTATTGTGGCGGGTTGTCCAGGGTATTGAGGCGGGATGTCCAGGGTATTGTGGCGGGTTGTCTTGGGGCGGGTTGTCTTTGTGGCGAGTTGTCCAGGATTCACACAAATGCACGCAATGCCAATGATTGAATGAATACGATGTGGCTGATGATAGGCAACCGGCAAGTTTGACAGTAGACTCGTGATTTGAATTTTTAAATCATTCTTTCTAACGTTGGTAAGTTGAAAAAATTGTATTTTTAAAATACAATTTTTTCAACTTACCAACGTTAGAAAGAATGATTTAAAAATTCAAATCACGAGTCTACTGTCAAACTTGCCGGTTGCCTATCATCAGCCACATCGTATTCATTCAATCATTGGCATTGCGTGCATTTGTGTGTAATAGCAGTAAATTACTGCTATTTAGGTGTCATCAATTGTCACTAAAGTACCGATTTGGAGTGAAATAAGTTAGTGGCACAAAGAACTTTGCGCACTGAGTGCTGTAGAGTAAAGGAGCCGGTAATCGGCCAGCTCCAGTTTTCGGCCAATTGGTTGGATGCAAGGTAAAATCACTCTAAAATAGATCGCATAATAGCATAACATATATCCCACACATACCATACCATGCCAGTGTCACTGAAGAACCACATTTGCAATGGAAAATATATCCTAAAATATCACATTTTAGCGATGTAATCGCCGGTCCCGCTACCCAAATCTGAAAAATCAAGTATCTTACGCGTGTCTGTAAGAAATATGGGTACCATAAAATGAGCTTTATTTCAAGTATTTTTCAGATTTAGAGCCCGATTTTGTGCTAGTCGCAAGCTCAAAAGTATCTCATCGCATGTATTAAATCAATGCAGCCGCACACCGCGACGCACACACGATATCTCTGTCTAATTCAGATTCCAACTTCCGATCACCGCTGTGCCTGTCTTCGGCCAGGCGAGCACCAGGGAGCTCCGGCGTGGAATACCTGCTCCGCCCGCTTGTGCTGTACATCAGCGCGGAAACGCACGGCGCGCGTGAGCGCTTCCTATTGACTCTGTACATGCGGCCGTAAACTGAAACGCTCGGCCGATAACTGGCTCCAAAACAGTGAAAATTGAAATGAATATTGTCATGGCAATTCGTGATTTTTTTCTGGGATTCTTTTTTTGTTTAAATAATAATAATATTTGCTTCATGATTTGAACAAGAAATGATAATAAATAGGAAGTAAAGAGTCCTAAAAATAGGATTTTGTCTTAAGTGGCCGAAAACGGGCTCCTTTACTCTACAGTGAGTTTATGCGCTCTGATTGGCCGATCCAATCGAGTGGCTTCGCATTTAAGTGAGGGAGGGCCTACTTCACTTTAATCCGAAGTCACTCGAGCGGATCGGCCATTGGGAGCGCGTAAACTCACTGCACAGCGCTAAATGCGCAAAGTTTTACATGCGATCCGTTGGAGTGGCTTCAAATTAAAGTGAGAGAGGGCCTACTTAACACAGAATCAGTCAAATATTTGTTAAATGTTCGTTAACTGTTCTTCAATTTTCCGCCTCATGTTTATCAGAACACTTTTTACATGTCGCCAGGTATTAATCACATTTAGACTATCACTGACTAGTTGTGATTATTTAGTGTATTGTAGGGTCTCTTAAAAATTTATCAGAATTTTTATATGAATTCCCCACTATCACCAAATATTCACTGCTCAGTGACATAAAGTGTAACACCCTTATACATGAAGCTGTATTGTACTTATTCTTATTTCTGTGTTTCTTTTTGTTCTGTTAGAGAGATGGCTGATAAAGATAAGATGAGTCTATGGCTATGCTTACCAGAGAGCATTGTAGTCAACATCTTCTCATACCTTACCTCGAATGAACTGCAGAGGGCAGGCTGCTCCTGTCGGACTTGGCTTAGGATTAGCCATGATGAGCTTCTTTGGAAGAATTTGCTGTACAGAGAATGGAAAATCAATAGAGCGATCCCTCTTCCACCTGGCCATTCTTCATATTACCGGTACGAAACTCCTATTAATTGCAACTGCATAATGTTTTTCTTTTCACTGATGTTTTTTCTCTCATTTTTCTTCCTTTATTAAAACTGAATAAATATCTGGGTTGACTTCCCCTTCTAATTTCATGTGATTTAGTATTATGATATTTTTAATGAGAATTGAGAGGACTTGGAGGTTTTGCTATGATTTACATACATTGCAATTCAAACAAGTATAAAACGCTTGTGTAAAGCTTATAAATTTACTTCTCTCAAATTCTGCTCTTATACTGTACACATGCTAAAATCAACTTCTAAACTCTTGCACTCCAGAAGTAAACGGCCGAGTCTAACTGAGTTACACTGAAACTAAATTTTAACAGATCAGAATATAAGTGAGTTCATAAATAAAGAACCAATCAGAAACATAAAAATGGAATAGAACAACATAAAGGAAGAACCAAAGGAAAAGTAAGAACCAATAGACAGTATGGAAGGGTGATCATGAAGTGTCATGAATATAAATGAGAACTAAGCAATAGAACCATGTGAAGTTGAAAGTGAATGGAAATGGTAGCACGTGAGGTGGAAATGGAATGGAAGGTGGGGCAATGGCAGTGAGAGTAATGTGTGAAGGTGGAAAATAAATATTAAATGCTACAAAATATAACTGTTACAATTGTTATCTTGACTGCAGGGAATTCCGGAGACTACAGTATCGAGTTCCTACAGCATGCTTACAGGAACTGACTGATCATAATGACCAGGTTCTACATGTCAGCTTCTCACACAATGGAAAACTATTTGCATCTTGCTCTAAAGATGGAACCATTAAGGTTAGACAGAGACCAAAGGGATCTTTCATTGTTTCATATTGCATCAAATATAGTACTAACACTTAAAACATTAACATAAGAACCTCTCTTATACATCATCTTGCTGTAAAGAAAGAATGAATTTTTCCTTCTTCATATTACTTCAAAGATAGTACTAACAGTTAAAGATAAAGACCAGTTATGGTCATGCGATTGCATTGTGAAAGAAACGTTGTGGAATCGATCAGAAAGGGCTGATCATCTAGCATTGTAATTATTGGTGTGTACTGCAAGGTTCTGGAATCATCAAAATGATAAGAAATTTGGCCCAGTCTTCGTAAAGTTACAAGCACTGTACACTGAAAGATGTATATGGGACTACGCACACATGCGCAACACCTGCGTTTATCTCTCACAGTCCAATAGATAAACTAATTTACCAAATATATCAATTAGTAGGCGGTTTCCCGGCAAAATTGTTTTCATCATGTATTTATAATAGTCAAAACATTTTCTTTCACATGATTGGTAATAAAGAGCTTCCATTACATTTTTTGAAATTGGGGCATTTCCAATACTGGTCTTTACCTTTAAACAATTAAGATGAGTAGCTTCTCTTATAATAGAAAGACAAACTTAAGATGAGACAGTAGGAAAAAGAGAAGGAGGGATATGGAGTTTGATCGAGCATCTGTAAAGAATTGGTCATTTTTGGTTATTTTTATTATATTCAAGAATTTTGATGTACTTCTCACATGCACACACACAAATACAAACTAACAAGAAAACAGAGATCATACTTCACATAGATATGTACAGCTCTTACAAGTTTTGTTTAAGATTCACAGGAAGATAAAAACTGACATGATATGATAAATCAATGTTGTCTAAATTAATAAGATAAAATGATTACTATGATGGTGACTCTTCAAAAGGACTGGAGATATGCAGTGCCTTGAACATTGATATAAAGGAAAGGAACAAACGATGCATGCACTGATGTTATTTTGATCTCATTTAAAGTCTTTTCAAATAGTTGCTAGCAAGTGCTATTAAGAAATGTTGGTTATAAACATGTATTCATTCATGATGGTGATGTAAGTGTACATGGATTGTAGCATGTTAAATAATCTCTGCTTATTTTTCAGGTTTGGAAGAGCGGTCCACCAGCAAGTCTCAAGTATTCACAGAATATGAAGGAACAGTTTAGATGGCAATTCACTCAGTTCTCTCAGTTTAACAGTAGCGATTCTCTGTTGCTGGTATCAGGGGTACACTTTGGCCCAAATAGTACATCAGGGGAGATTGCCGTCTTCAACCTCAAAGGTGAGAAGTAAAGCAAGAGAATTACATAATTACATGAATAACAAAGAAAAGTGAGAAAAGGACAGAGTTATTCCAAATATTAGAGAAAGAAAAATTGTATAAGATAATCTCACTCTTTCACTGTATTAACAGATTTATGGAGTTTCATGTGTACCCACATTATGTCCATTGCAACCGTTTAATTGAAGGATGTAGGCTGGTTTTATTTATACCTTTACATGGTATAAAGAGATGTGAGTATAACAAAAATAATAATGATAATAAAGATTATTTAGAGGAACATAAAGTACCAAAGTGCGTACAAAATGACAGAATTTAAAGAGAAACATAATATAGACTCATAAAATAATATTAGATTACTGAGGGAAGAAGACATGATAAGAAAGTTTCTAAGATTAATTAAAAAATCCTTGTTTTTCTCTAAATGTTATCTTTTTTATTTGTTATTTTTTGTTCACTTTTACAGAAGACTTTGCACTTCAAGCAAGAGTACAGAATAAACCATATGATATCTTTGGATGCTGGTTAAACAATGCCTATCTATTATCCGGCAACCTCCATTATCTAGGACAGCTTTCATCTTGTTCTGCTCTCTGGCTCAACAGAGCTACTCAAGAGGCTGATTCAGAGCAGGAATCTGTGGTGATGAGGTTGTTCAAGTTCCTGAACATGAATGCCAGCACTGTTAGGGGTATCACTGTAGCTAACTGCAGAAACCTTGGCAAGGGAAAGGAAGTACTGTTAAAACAATTACAAGTAGAAAGCAGCAGAGAAGTGAAGAAAGAAGGAGAGACTGAGCAGATGAGTGAGGAGCAGAGTACAGCAAGCAGGATAGTAAGCTCCAGTGAAAGTGAACCAGATATTAAAGTGAGTAGTGCATGTGAAAGTGATACTGAGCTGACAGCCAGTGAACCTGATTCTGAACAGAGAAGACTTCACCATCAAGACAAAGATGATCAAAAAACAAGATCAGAGTATGATACAGAGGATATAGCAGCTGACAGTAAATCTCAAGTTGATATGCTAGATGATACATTACAATCTGAGATGGAAGTTAGGGAATCTACCTGTGGCAAGTTAAACAAAATATCTAAACAAAGCTCTAAGTCAATCAAACACAAATCTGTGGCTGACATGTACTCCAGAAATCATCCATTAAAACGAGAAGCAAGTGATTCATCAGTGACCCCACCTGGCTCATTTCGTAAGAGTTTACGCAAAGATGGTGAGAGACGTAATGCTGCTAAGACAAAGTGTGATCCCAATGTAGCTGATCAATCAAGCGATACAGAGACCAGTCACAGCAGATTGTGGTTTAGGGTTCGCAACGCAGAAGTGAGACGTGGTCGGCAGAACGTTGATGAGGACTTGATGAAGATATTGATATATGGGGTAGAACCAGCGTGTCCAGAAGAGGTTCAGAGGGTTCCTAGACATTCTCCGGGAAGAATCATCGGTGGTCCTTCTACAAGTCATTGTGACCAGCACAGTTTAAGAACAGAAGAAGTCCTATCTGGGGTCGGTTCACGATGTAGCTCTACAGACACTGTCCTATCTAGTACAGATACTGACTATACCTCATTAACATTTGCAGGAGAAAGTGGAAGTGGAAGTGACATCGTACGAGCCTGGGGTAAAAAGTTTACTTTTGGCAGCACAGAGAGTTTAGATGAAGAATCTCTCGTTAAATTAGCATCAGAATCAAAACCAGGCCAAACAACAACCAAAAGGCCTGTGGCATCAAATGGAGAACAGGAGAAGGAATTTAGTAATAACTTATCCAGCAGTAGCCAATCAGACTCACAGGAGGTTATTCAGAGATCTAAAATCAGGCGACGAAGGACATTGCCAAAAGAAGACAGCCAGCATAAGCATCTGATCTTCATGAGAGGGGCTGTAGCCTACACACCTCACCAGATATGTATCAAACACATTAACTCAAGTATGATGGACACAGTCAAAGGACCATTAGGTGTTAGTAAACAACTTGATGATGCAAGATCAGGAGAAGTGCCCTTAGCTGCAGGACTAGCTGCAGTAGATGAACCCAATCACCCAAATCCAAGACCTCAGCTAGACTTTGACAAGGTGGACCATGTCATAGACCTGCATGGACAGATCCTAGGACTCGCTTTATCTCCAGATCATAGGTATGCATAGGTTTCTCTCTTTTAATTTTTTTATTCATATATCCAATGTATGTATTATTATATTTTTTCAAAGAATAGGTTGCAGGACCTTATGTTGCCATCAAAGCTGATGAAAGGGGCCCGTTAACAATACCAAAGTCCCATTTCATTTTAGTGTGATTAGAAATGAAAAAGTAAATGAAATGTACAAAATCATAGAATGAAAAGGTTACAATTTAGAAATTAAATATTCAATGACATTTTTCTTGAATCTGTCCATTTTTGGTGCAAGGGGGAAGATATGGGAGGGAGTTCCATTATCGGGATGCCCTTGGTATATACCCAGATTAATGAAGATCAGTACAAGACCTTGGGATGTTTGCAAAGTAAGGATGTGTAGTCACAGAAGATCTAATTGGCCATGAACACTGGGGAAGAATGCTACCCAGCTCCAGATAAAGCTTGAAGAAGAAGTGTCTGTACATAGATTTGCAACATTTTTTCTGTGTACATACTTCTTGCCTTTTTTTCCCCTTCTGATAAACAATTAATTCCAAACAACAATGTAATATGATAGGATTTTGCAGGAATCAAGCAATTACTTAATGATTAAAGCAACTCCTATCTTTAAGCAATCAGTTGGTTGCCATATGAATTCAACTGACTTGAGATTCAGTGGTTGTGTGTTCATGTCCTTGAGCAAGGTATTTTATACATTACTTTGCTCTAGCCAGATTTTAAATGGATACCCTGTAGGATACAAACACATTATTATTGGATTAACATGTGTTTGCCTGTGGAATGACAACTGGCTAGAATGCTTCCTGGTAGACAGATGGAGTGAAAAGTATACTGTAATGTTCAGATGGAGTAAAAAAATGCATTGTAATGTACAGAATAGTAGTTCAATACAATATTCAGGGTAGTAATAATTCAATGTAAGCACTTGGGTCAGTTGTTTGGGATTATTATTAAAAAGAGGCTGTAAAAAAATACCCCAGTTATTATGATCATTGCTAGTTATCCAGTAATTGCTTTTCTTTGCTAGCATTTGATGGGCGTTTGCTAGTTTTATGAATGTAACCCATATAGTCTTTTCTCCTGTGTCTAGTCTTTCTTGTTTGTGTTCAACAGTTTAGAAATGTTGAGATGATCTCCTTTCTTACTTGCGATAATTTGACAGGTTTCTGTGCGTGAATTGCCGTTCCTGGCCCAAGGACTATCATGTAGCAGATGCCTTAGCCCCACCCCCCATCGCACAGGAAATAGAAGTGCGCATGTATGACCTTTACACCTTGATGGAGGTCAAACGGTTCAGAGGTCATAGGGCGTTTTCTCCCAATGATGAATGTAACATTATCTTCCTGAGTGTCAGTGACCTGTATGTTGCTAGGTAAGTCATGTCATTTTAGAACATAAGTGACACATATTGCTAATATAATAAACTTTGACTAATTCACCATATGAATTGACAGTTGAAACATTTCTGTGGCATATGTCTTGATCAAACAAAGTGACACAAATCATAAACACTGATTAGATTTCCTTTTGCAGCATTCTGACTTTGCCCTTGTTCTGCTAGGCCGAGAGCTGAACCTGCAGCCCTGTATGATGTAAACCACCCACGTTCCACCCAGTGCAGAGAGTGACTATTCACCTCACTGTTAACCCACTTTATATTGGTTTCAAAAGTGCTCCACCACCTGTAGCTCTGAAATTGCATATACTGTTTTTAATAATTGAAAATGATGATTGCTATTTAAAGCGGGACTGCACTACTTGTAGCTACTGCGCCCTCTATGTAGCAAACAATGCCCAAGCAGTAGGTGTTGGTCCCCCACGGTCCCCTTTTTCTTTAATATGTTTATAAGTTTATATGTTTATATATTTGATAAGATAACCACCTGTCAGTGACCATGCAGGGAGGTCTAATCCGTCCTGGTCAAACTAGTGCAGATAGGCTTTAACATCATATCTTTTAATATAAAGTGTCACATTCTTACTTTTTATAGTTGTCATTAAACTATTTTATGTCAATGGACATTTTAATAAGCTTGTTTTATTTTTGATATTTGTATTTTACTTTAAATATAATGATGTATGTCTTTGGACTTTTGCCATGTCTTTCTTTATATAATAAAACCAATCTCGGTTTGAATTGAATTATTTGTACTCTTTAACTTTGTTTATTTTGCAGTGGAGCTGAAGATAGACAAGGCTACATCTGGGACCGGCATTATGGTATTCTCCTAGCTCGTCTACCTCATACAGACATGGTCAACTGTGTTTCATTCAATCCACTGGATCCAGAGATGCTCATATCAGCCAGTGATGATCATACACTCAAGATATGGTATTCTAAAAACAGGGTAGAGCAGATGACCTCTTAAGCTCTTTGACATACAGTGACCTTTACACATATGTACTACATTCAGTATATCTTTGATATGAGATTTAAATGGGTAGCATTATAACTAATCTTCATCAAAGTGAGTGTAATCAGTCAAGTGCAAAGTGCAAAGTCTCTCAATGAAATGGTACCCCATTAGTCTCTACTAGATTGAGCCGTTTCAATTTATAAACCGAGCCCCGACTGTAACCTTCGAGGCCCAAATCCATTTTCTCTCAACCGGTGAACCCATACATGTGGGGCAGTGGTACATGTACAGATTTTGCTGTGACTTTGTACACAACAACAATTTCACTGTCATGGGTCAAAAAGGGGTTAGAATTTAGATTTCATTTTGATTTGATTTCATGCCACAGTTCATTCCTGTAATAAAAGATATTGGTATTCCTTTATTTACGATTCTATTCATCTATTAATGAATTCCTGATTTGTAATATCTACTTTTCTTTCAGAACAGTGAATTTCTCTGAGTGTTATTTCTGCTCAAACATGTATGGTCATGATCACATGTGATCATACATGTTTGAGAAGGAAAACACTCTGGGAATTTCTCTTTTTTAGAAATTAAACAGACTTTTAAAAACAGGAATCCAACAATTGATAGAAAGTCTTAAATGAAATAGTGCAATTATCTTATATTACAGAATGGATTGTTGTCAAGAAAGTTTACAAAGTGTAAAAAGTCTAATTCTAGCTCCCTTTTTGACCTGCACAAGCAAAGTGTTGTATATGTACAAAATCAATACAAAATATATACTTGCTGCTTATAAGTATCAGCTTGCATGGTGATGTAGATATACAGTAAGCTTGCGGTTGCAAACGTCGAGCCACTCCCGCCACCTATCCTCTCCAACCGACGCTATAGTTCTCCTTTGAACTATAAGCTAAGAAAGATAACCAACAGTCTTTTTCAAGACTACACCAAAGGTCCTTTTCAAGACGACACACACTCAAGAAAGAAAGATTACCGCAAGTCCTTTTCAGGACTTCCCAATCCTCCCCCTCTCTCACATGGTGCAACCGCAAGCCTGCTGTATAAAATATATACTGTTGTCCGACGTGTAGATATTTATGTTGGGACATCAGAGCCATTCAGGCCGTGATTGAAAGAAAACCATAATAACTCAGGCCTCTTATTCTTGTATTGTATTCTAGCAACTTGATGCCTGTAGGTGTAGATACCACAGACTATTGTGAATGTTTGCTCCTACCTTGAACACTAGTTGTTTTCATTTTGGAATATACCTAGGCATCATTCAATCAGGAGGCAAAGCTATTCACTATTAGGCCTACCTCCAATTTGTAACATGAAAATAATAAATGAGCCATGGACTCAATATTTACAGTGTAAATAGGTTAATAATAATAATAATATTCAGCTTTTATATAGGGCATTATACATCAATGTTGTGTCAAAGTGCTTTCCAGTCCAGATATATTTTTTACCCTGGTCATAGGATCCAGGCTTACCCGCACACAATGTATGCACATTCCCCACTCCCTGGGGAACATTTCAGTCCTACCGAGAGTGGCAAATGTAGATTAATGTCTTGCCAAAGGACATTAGTGCTGCGGCTGCGGCGGCGGCGGCCCCGAACCCTGTACCTTGTAATCTGCAGTCAGGTGACTTATCCACTAGATCGCCACACCTCAACAATAAGTGATAATAGGTGAACAAAGGTTCTAAGGGCATGCAATTGAAAACTGTTTAATCATCTGAAGTCCATGATGGGCTCTTATAGTTGTAGGATCACACCTAGTTTGTTTGCCATAGACATTTATATGTTATATGAAATCACATCAAATTTTTCAAAAGCATATTTTTATCATTAAAAAGTATAATGTGTGCCTTACACTATAGGGAAAGTGCAATTATCTTTTAGAAATAATGATTTGCAATTTATGCACGTAAAATATAGACCTTACACTAATTTTAACTCATTCTTGAAAAAATGAAGTAAGATTCATGCTTTGAATATTCTGATGTTGTTCAGCATGTTAGTGATTTCATTAATTTGTTTTACACTTATTTACCTTTAGCCTTGATAAAACGAAACCCAAGATACCTTGGGTTGAAAACCATTCAATGAAATCATCTTCAACTGATTGCTGCACAATGTTGCACAGACGGCCAGAATCATGTGAAAATTTGATTGTATTCTTTAATATGACAAACTGTATGCAAATCTGTGCATAATAGTACATGTCTGCAGTTCATCCTGTACTTTGCAGGAATGTGCGAACAAAGTTAGGTTGATTTTGATAAAAAATAATAATTGTACATGTGTATTCTAGGCATCTGTGCGTGCCTATTTCACAAGCACTTATAGCTAAATAGTTTAATAAAAAGTCTCTTAAGTTTTATTTTTTGTGTGGAAAAGGTTCCTCATATCCTTGTAAACATTTTCTTCATAAGAAATTCTGTGAAAGCTTTTTATATATCTTGTATTCTGTTTTGTGAATATCATTTATTACGCATCTCATTTTTTTCAATTTCAAATTTTTCTTTTCCAATTCTGCCATTTTGATTTTTTTTAATGATTGTTCAGCTATAAACTGATGATAATGAAAGCTTAAAAATACAAGTGACCAATATACTAATTCTCCCTTTTGATTTGTACAGAAACATAGAGATGGACTCTTTAATGAGGGGTTGATGAGAGTTCAGGAAAGGTCAAAGAATGTCTAAATATTGAGAGCTTGATGTCAAAAGATGTGCAAGATTTGAAAGAACAAAGTCAGAGTGTAGTGCGTCATGAAATGTGGTGTAATGTGATGTGATGTGTGGGGTGAGGTCATCTCCCCATTGTTCAAGTACAGTGAGGGCTCATTCAGATATAAAGCGTGTAAGTGAATGGAGACTCTGTGCAACAAAGATCCTTATTGGCATATTCACTGGGTTCTGTTTTATATGATAATGATGGAAATATGTGAATACATCATTACAAATACTCCATAGTGGTTCATCAGAGCATATAGTATCTGCACGAGGCTTTAGGGTGTAGGGGCTGCATATTACACTGCACAGTGTTATAGTTTGGACACCTTGAAGGATGCCACATGTTGAATTTCTTTGGACTTCTAAAGGCAAATGACATATGAAGACTCTCATCAATTTCCCCAACTTCTCCCACAAATTGAGTGGTTATTAATGTTCATAAATTCAGCAATGAGATTTACTTTTATTTCAACAGTTTGTCAGTCTAGTGAAAGTATTAATGTATCCGAGAAGGTAAGAAAGAACATCCCTGAAAGTTATAACAATTATTCATTTAATAAGATGAAAATCAAGTCAGTTACAAATAGAAAATCTGTGATTTAGCACCCAAGGTTATTTAAATCGTGCCAACCATGGATGTTGCACCAAGCAAGTTTAAACAAAAAAGATTTTTTTAGACTTGACAAAACCTTGAGTTTATAAAGAAAATTATTAATTTTTCAATTTTCCTTCTTACAATTTATAATCTTTTCCAAAGACAATGGGAGTTATTCTTTGGATTAACAGAGAAAAAAAAAACTTATAGGAAGATTTTGAAATGTTACATACATAAATATTAAAAAAAGGAAACTTGGATAACTTATAAGAAAGTTCAATGAAATAATAATTGGCAAATTGATCTCAAGTGTGTGATGTCATTTCCCTCACTATTCATCAACTGCTTTGTGTATTTTGAGATGGTAACATTTTGCTCTTTATCCTCAAGTCAATAAAGGTAAAGACCAGTATTGGAAACGCCCCAATTTCAAAAAATGAATTGGAAGCTCTTATTACCAATTATGTGAAAGAATACGTTTTGACTAATACACAATGATAAAAAATTTGCCGGGAAACCGCCTACTAATTGATATATTTGGTAAATTAGTTTATCTATTGGTAGGAAACCGCCTACTAATTGATATATTTGGTAAATTAGTTTATCTATTGGTGTGTGAGAGATAAACACACGTGTGCGTGGCCCATATACATCTTTCTGTGTACAGTGCTTGTAACTTTACAAAGACTGGGCCAAATTTCTTATCATTTTGATGATTCTAGAACCTTGCAGTACACACCAATACTTATATGCTAGATGATCAACCTTTTCTGATCGATTCCACAACGTTTCTTTCACAATGCAATCGCATGACCATAACTGGTCTTTATCTATAATAGAAAAGGAGTTAGACTATCAACATGCAACTATTTAAAAAACATCAAATATAAATTGAATTAGGAAATAATTTTCTTTCCAATGTATAGTGTATTATCAAAGAAAAGTGAGGAAATTGAATCACAAACTTTAAGCAGATTGCCAAGCTGTCTCAGAGACTTTCCTTTAAGCATCGTGTAATTATTCCCAATATTTTATGACTCTGCTTTCTTGACTTGACTACCTTATATAAAGCAAGTCATTCTTGGAGCAAACTTTCCCTCATAGCAGAAATGAAATATATATATATATATATATACATAACAAAAAACAAAACAGATATTATGTTGACAATATGAAATTTTTAATTAATCACAAATATTGGCAATTCTGTTTGAAACCACACCCAATCAAGAATTAACCTGCTAAAATTAGATTATATAGTCATTAATAGTCGTTACAAAAACTACTTGTACACTTTGTAAAAATACCACTTTAATCCACTTTTTCAAATGAAATATATTTTGCTAGCTTATGCTTGTCTAGTTGTGTCAATTATTGCATCATAAGAGTACATTGTCATTATGGATTCAAATAGTATGCATATTATGATAACAAGTGATTGCTAACCTTGATATATTATTGTAATTCTACGATGTTGAATGCATCTACAATCATTTGTTTGGGGGAGACTGAAGGATTAGCATTTCCAAAAAGGAGTACATACAATATTATAATCTAATAAATGATGAAAGTTGTCAAATGGAAGATGATGATAAAGCAGTCTGAATCACCATAAAATTTACAAGCAATTGTTGATATCAATATTCTTTCTATACACTTCAAAAAAATATCTTGGAAATTGCATTATTAGGCTACATGAATGTGAATTGGTGCAAATCTTTGCTATAAGATTACAAAATACAGACTACCACTACTCAATAAAGGATTCTACATGAAGTGGAGCATACAGATATGACTGAGGGCCATTATATCTGCTTCAGATCATACAAGAGTGCTTTATGTTGATTGTTATCATATGGTGTATAATATCAAAACATTAATACCATGATTGTGTAAATGAATCTTTTCAAGATTGCACATGTAAATGTACCAGCAATGTTACTATCATATATGGCACTACCATTTAATTACAATTACAATATTCATGAAAGGAGTGAGCACAACTACCTCTTAATGCAGAAATCAAACTTGCTTAATATGTTTCTGCAAATTAAAGACCATCTCTCTAATGTAACCCACATAGTATTTGATTTAGCAGCTCAAAATGTACAAGTGCAAACATATGAATAACAGAGGTGATTGAATACCCATCACAGCATGTTTAGCAGTCATCTTTCTAGCAGTCAGAATGTTCCTCTTTTTTAGGAAGTTGCTTTTAAATTGGTTTGCTGTTGCACATATCTTTCTAGATTCTAAAAAACACCATCACACACACCACATATACCAAGTTCAAATTACAGCATACAAATTGCATTTTCACAGTTTTGTTACTTTCAAGTTTGTATAAAATGTTCTATCCATGTCTTATGTAACCTACTAGGAAGTACATATGATGTTAGGGGTGGAGTGTAGAAGACCCCAAAATACATGGTTTATATACATGTACATGTAAATAATCATTTATTTGTATTTCACATCAAGTACACTTTCATACTTATTGCACGCAATAGATGTTAGAAATATTTTCTAAATTTGAAATTATTAATTACTACTAACAAAACGGGAGTGCCAAATAACACCAGAAATATTTGAAATAATTATGTTCCAAGCTGTTTCAGATACAAGTAAATAATGAATCAAGTGATTCAGAAATCTACTTGAAGTATCGAAATAGAAAAGAAGTAAAACTAACAGTCACAACAAAAGTATATATATATGGATGCAAGGCTGCAGATCAATTTAAGATAAAATCTCCTTCATTTCCCTACATGTGTGCTAACATTTCATATACAAGCTGGTAAGTTGTGTCTGAATCTATTGCAGAGCTACTCCTAGTTATACCTTATAAATATTGCATATCATAGTTCCAAATTTACTAGAATTCAGTCAATATGCAATATGCATTCCTGTATCTATGTGTACACAGTGTTTTACAACTGTAAAAATGATTCATGCAGAATATTACCTTCATTACGCTCCTTTTATAATCACAAAGTACTAAAGTAGTTCAGGATTGTCACAGAAATTAATTAATATTGTAATATATTAATTGCAAACCAGGCATAAATGAAAGTAGTTTCACTGGGTCATGGCAGATTCTCAGTGTAGCACCAGCATACATAAAAGACTTCAGTTTGTTATTTCTTTAGTAGGAGAGATATTACCTATTATACAACACCTAAGTAGATCCTTGTCATTTGATTGGAGGATTGTTGGTCACATGATATTCCACAGATAAACTATTGCACAGGCGTGGATTTTTGGTACTATTCCACGAGCGTGCATTTTTGGTAAAATGCAGTCTGCAGACTGCGTACCTCTCTGCCCTGCGCGTACGTGAAGGCAATCTGAATGTTATCAAGAAGGCCTGACTACAACTTTAATTCATCTTTAATGGAGCAAAGCAAAATTTGTTGAAAGATTAACGTTATATTAGATCTACTTCAATGTTGTATAAAAAAAAATGAATGTTTTTCATTCGTTCAATAGGGCGAATATTTTCATTCGTTTAAAGATTAACATTAATTCTATTGAACTCGGCTGACGCCTCGTTGAATAGAACGTTAATCTTTCAACTCATGAAAATATTTGCACTATTGAACTCATAAGCATTCATTATTTGTATACTAATTCACTTTCCCTTGACTGACGTTGATTCATATTGGCTCAAGTCTAAATTTGATGTATAATAAAAGGCTCCCTCTATATACTGCCATGAATCTGCTAACTTTATTTTACTTTACTGTATCTACATAGACATGTATCAATGGTGTGGGTCAAGTGATAATATTATAAGTTCATGCTATATCAAGATTTGAAAGCAACAATTATCAAAGCAATATGCTGAAACATGTATTGGCATGTTTAAACAGTTTTGGAAACATTATTCAATTCCAAATCCACAATAAAAAATGACTGCCTCATATGAAGAAAAAAAAATACATGACCTAGCTATTAAACAAATAAACATTTCAAGGACAAATGAATAAACTAAGTACTGCATGATTTACCTGTTATTGGTACATTAAAACTGCAAAATGACTTTCTATGCAATATCTACAATGAAATAAACTGCCTACTGCAGCAAAATATTATGAAAGTTGTTTTGTTTTCCCCATGACAGGAATTGCATTTTTCTTTACAGCATGAAATGACATGAATATTCTTTCTTCTTGACTGGAGTTTCATGCCTATGCTTTGGGTTTCTTCTGAATGAGAATGGATCGACAAGTGAGGGCGCCATCCACCTTTCTGAACTCGCTGTTTGGCATCTCAATACGATGGGTGTGGGGGAAGAGTGCTTCAAATTTCTGTGAATACAAGAAGGGGATAAAAAATTAATATATTACTTCAGACCAAAAGTAAATCATTTACATGTTTCTATTTTTCTTCATCAGCTGCGCTATACCAATTGATCTAATTATTTACATTTTCTAATCTTTTTGGCATTTGATCAAACATATTCCAATCTGTTATCAATGACTTATGGATATAAATGGGCAGATAAAAGGTTCACTTGTAAATGCACAGCACCAAATTACATCATCTTGCTGTCAGCCTTGCTCTTCATCAATCAGCACTGCCGATGTTATAACGGTCTTGATTTCTTGAATTACATCACATCTAATTGTTTATATTACTACCAAAATCCCATCAAAAGAATTTTGTATGAAAAATTACATGTAACGGTACAAAATATAATCATATCAAATAACAGGATAGTAAAATGGTTTATCACAATTACAAGATTATTTTAACTGAAGAACAGAGAAACAACCATTCAAAAATATTCTCATATATGCTATTCACACTACAAAAAATCATTTAACACATCAGTTGCTTCAAAGTTTGCTGCAAATTTACTAGAACAAAGAAGAAAGACCAAAAACTCTCTGTTAGAGTTTGAACATCCCCTACCAATGGCTCTTGGTTTAATACTGAAAAGCCAAAATTATAACGTACATATTAATGAACTAAGACATGGTTCCAATTACAGTTTGCCTCATTCAAACATATATTTAGATTCAGGAACTTAAAACATTGTGAACTTGTGATCCGTAACCAAATAATGTTTGTTTTTAATGAAATTACCTTGGCGCTTTCTGGGAAGTCCTCATGAGAGCAATGTATAAGAGTCCGGTTGACATACACACAGTTAGCTGCTACATCATCAGGCAGTGTGACCTTACTGTACTTGAATGAGGCTTTAGACTCAATCTCCTAAAAAGAAAAGAAGACAAATAATATCACGCAAATAGTATGGATACATGGCCTTTGAAATGGAAATTCACTGGAAATTATGGAAGATCACTAATATATCTAGTATTATATCATGCATCAAAAATTTATTGGTTTTTGATTGGTTGAGAGCTCGTCACGTGACCAGAATTATTTGAACTATTTGAAGGTTGCTCTGAAAAAGTACTATGTGAGAGTACTATTTGGGAGTTGGAAAAAAATGTGAATTTTATTTTTTTAACCAATTTTTTTTTTTCTTCAAACCTTAATTCAATGAAACAAAATATTTAAAATTTGAGGTACTGGTTAAACTATGGGCCTCGGTGACTCCAAAGGTACCATTTGCTTCGGGGCTACACCCCTCAGCAAATAGTACTATTGGAGTAGCCTCTTGCGCATAGTTTTAACCAGAACCTCTCAAGACAGTGTATATTTGTATATCATTGTGGTTTGTATGTTAGCATCTCATGTATTTGAATTTTCAATATAGTGGATATGATCTCTTCCAATTTAATAATCAGTAGGTATCTAGAGATGTTGCAAGTCTTTAATTGGGATGAAAAAAATTCTTGAAAGTTTCACTCAGATATGAAGACTGCTGCAAATTCCTTTTAACATGTAAATAAATGGCAACTACGAGCAACAAAGGTCTTATGTGTACTTACTCAGCTCTGTGAGTGATAAGATATAGAAATATGAAGCGTATTATGCTAACAAGATGTATGTCATTAAAAACAGAAAACGTTGCAGATTACAATGTCATATTTGAACAAGGCTTGGAATGGGACCGCACTACTTATAGCTACTTGCACCCTCTATATAGCAAACACTGCCTAAGCGGTACCAGTTGGTCCCCCTTTATCCCCTTTTTATGATGTTAATTGAGAGCTGATTTGATGAGATGACCACCTGCCAGTTACCTTGCAGGGAGGTCTAATCCCTCCTGGCTAAACTAGTGCATACAGGCTTTAAGACTTTCTACAGAAGATTTCAAACATTTGTACGTGCTTACTTTGAGAGCTTTCTGTGCATCTTTACTGGAGCCTACAGCAATGACACCTGGACTAGCCATACTCATGAACGATTTCAGATGCAAGGAACCATCAGATAGCTTGATAGGTGAAACAGGGTAGTTCTCAAATGTATCAGCTAGAAACATTGCTCCCTTCATGTTGGTCCGCTGGGAAAGTCCTACAAAGAATTCCTTTCCTGTCAAATAACAAGATATCAAGATATTAGCCATCAAGAAACAAGTCTATTGATTATATCTCCCAAAATTTAATATAAGACATTTGCAAATTCTGGATAAGAACTTAGAAGAGTTAAAATAGCAAATGTTGTATAAAACTGTACTTTATATTTCAGAGTTGTGAGTTCATGATTTCAAACACCTTCATCAATGTACCATACTTATAGCATCCTACCAATCAGGATTCAAGATGGCTTCAGATATCTGCTCCAAGAATGATAGTGAATGATGGTTTGTTGCAAAGAGTATCACAATCATTACTAGAATCACCACTGGAATCACTATTGCAAATATCAACAAAACTACTACTACCACCAGTACCACCATGACGACACCACCACCACCACCACCATCATCATCATCATCATCATCATTGTGGTCATCGTGGTCTTCTTTGTCGTCATCATCATCACCATTTGTTAATTTTGTTTTGGTTTATTGGAACCAGCAGTTGTAAACATTTTCTTATGTCCCTCATAAGAAATTCTGACATAACCCGTTGAAGTTGTCATGGGATTATTACATTTTGAACATTCCACACCATGCAATTTCTGTACCTAGTTAGTATCACACTTGCCATTCTATTACTTGGTTCAATGTTGCCTGAATAAGATGTTGTGTAATGTTAGCAGGTGTTTGATAGATCATACCTGTAAATAGAACATCTCCTCCATCTAGTGTAGCACCCTCTTGCTCTGACATCTCTACAACCTTCTGACCTAGGTCAAATGAAAGAACTCTTCTCACAACGTCTACCTGAAAAATACAACAATGTGAAATAAAAATACATGAACATAATCCTGAGAAAATCAAGTAGGAATATGACCCCTTTGAGATATAGAATCATATAATTTCTGTCTACTTGGTGAAGTGGTTAAGATTTTATAGTTGTCAAATCATATTCATGGATCATGATGTAGCAACACATATCTGCTGAGCGAAGTAGTAATACAAGCCATTTCATTAAGCTCTTCTTCATAGCTTGGGAACTGACTTCATTTCGAGTAAACTTCTCATGTGCAATGGTTACAATAGGCCATTTTCATAATGTAATCAAACAAAAAGCTAAAGACTAGTTATGGTCATGCGATTGCATTGTGAAAGAAACGGTGTGAAATCGATCAGAAAAGGTTGATCATCTAGCATAGATGTACTGCAAGGTTCTGGAATCATCAAAATGATTTGGCCAAGTCTTCATAAAGTTAGAAGCACTGTACACAGAAAGATGTATATGGGACTACACAAACGTGCGCGACACGTGCATTTGTATCTCTCAACAGGCAAGAGATACACTAATTTACCAAATATATCATTTAGTAGGCGGTTTCCCGTCAAAATTGTTATCATCATGTAATATTCAAAACATATTCTTTTACATGATTGGTAATAAGAGCTTCCATTTCATTTTTTGAAATTGGGGCATTTTCAATACTGGTCTTTACCTTTAAAGCAAAAGTCTTTGTGAAATGCTATGCTTCAGATGATTTCATTCACCTGTCATTAATAGTTGTACTTTAATTGGCAAATTGCAGTGTTTTTAGGTAAGGCAAGCCATGGACATAATCATGTGTGTCTCACCTAGCAAGTCGCAACAAATAATATACCGGTATGTAATTCACATTCTGACTATTGTAATGCAATAATATAAGAATTCAAAGGTGAATGTAATGGCTTTGATACTAGGTAAACATGTTTAAATTTGATCTTACAAATTCAAAATGGTTTGTTGTGTTGGATACAATTAATATTAAAACCCTTAAAGAGAAGTTTGAGTTCTGGTGACAGGTGAAAAATAATTTGTATTATTATACAAGTGTGGAGGAACATCAGAGAAAAAATGTTCCCGGAAAAGCTAATACTACATGATCAACTTTTTCTGATCGATTCCACACCGTTTCTTTCACAAGACAACCGATGACCAGAACTTGAATTTATCTTTAAGGATATCATTGGCAAGCTTGACACATAATAGTCTGGAAATAATGCAGAAGAATTTTATCATCACTGAATGGCCAATTCAATGCAAATATTATTCTTGTTTTTACAAAGCACTGAATAAAGTAATATTTTGTGGGTATACTCAATTTGTTTTTTATTCATTGAAACATCAAATAGATGTACACATGTACATCATTTTTTTCCTCAAATATTTTATGTACATACAATGACAGCTAAAAAAAAATAACCACTGATATTTCTTAGTTTGTCTTATGAATGAACCATATGTGGATAACCACATAATTTCCCTAGACTAAAGGTACTCTTAATGACTATACACTAATTGTTATAGTGCACTGTGGATTGTGTAGAATTGTGTGTTCACAGTACTCTCTCTGGTTTGAGGATTCCTAATATTAATTTAGATTACAGAGACCGTCAGATCCAGGAGGGAAATACTGAAATATTGACTAATCAATATTAAATTGATTAGTGAATTCCTCCTCGAAATAGACCTTGTGATGATGCGTAATGAGAGTATACAGCGCAGAGAGCAATGGTGCGGTGAGTACACAATGAACTCCAATTATTCTCAGTGTGATGATGGTATATCAATATATTTTCACCAAACTGCTCAATACATGTATGTCATAAAATTTGTAATTTGGACATTGAAAGTCTTTCGAGTCTCAGCAATGTGCAATATTTGTCAAATTGTTAAAATCATGGTAACAATACTAACAGTTGGGTACAGGGGATGCTCAAAGTATCTCCAAAGCACAAATATTAATCCTAAATGCCTTTACAACGTTTACATATAATTTGTATACAGCTACATGTATTTATGAATCCCCCCCCCCCCTAAAAAAAAAAAAAAAATTGACAATAATGTTTCTAATAAAAATTCACACACAGAATATATGTCAGACCAGGATGAAGTTCATCTCTTAGTGGGCCAGCCGCAACCCTTCTCCTGATATAGACCATAAGCTAATTGGAAACGTTGCTGTTACATCTACTCTGGGGTAAAAGTGAGCACTACAAAAAAGTAGGTTTTTTCTTTTTTGCCTCAACCCTAACACACATAGATATATTGTAGAAGGCAGTGAAAACCTTTTCAAAACACACATGAAATTATATCGGTGATCCGTCTGAGCAAAATTATCTGTTATGATAGATTTTGTGTATTTATATTGGGCAAATCTTGATTCCAGCATATAGAATTCAAGAGCCAAGTGTTTCCTTAAATAGTTGTAGCTAGGTATAATATTATGTTGCTTTCATGTATATCTTGAGACAATGAGGCAAGATCAATTGTGTAACCCTTTGAGCATTTTGAAACAAATATCTGAGATCAATCCTAGATGAACAATGATCATCTCATATTCCAACCTCAAAGATCATTAAGTCCAAGGTGCATTAAACTGCATCAAATTTCATTCACAAAAAAACCTTTGAATTTACATTTATATTACCGGTAAGTTACATATGGTACCGGTACTCAATAATTTGAGGCAAATATTTTGCAATGATATAAATTTTACATGTGAGCAAATGTGGATTGCAAAACTCTTTGTTTCTTCTGCATTTAAAGCAAAAAAGGAGTTAATCTGATTCAGTCCTGTTACTCCTGCCTATGAACTGTCTACACCACAAAACAGGCAAACATATATATATATATCCCGTTTTCTCTTCTCCTGAATTTGTCGACTGCTCATAAGTACGGTTGTAATTGAATTCTGTAGCACTTCAGTTATCGGGTTGTCCATTATGAAAACATGTTCCTTAGGCTAACATAATCCGGTTATGAGGATTATTAGCCATGGATAATACTCTTTCATCAGAATCTCATTAAAACAACCAACTCTCCATCCATCCACACTAGCTGCTATCGATGGTTTGAGGGCATCAATGAGACGCTGAAAGTGCAATGGTACATTCTTCCTATACAAGTAATGATGGGTTTACACTAGGTTCTATTCATTGCTACACGTTTCCTCCCCGTTAGGTTTAAAGGTGGAGGTAATGGTGAGTTAACACTCTGCAAGAGGACATGGTTTCTCCATTGTATAACTGTACACTAACATGTTGACATGAATGCGATAGTCCTCATTCCTTTTATAATCACATTACATTGTATAACCTTCATACAATGTTTTGAATGAATGTTGCAGAGATTGAAATTCAATTTGTTGGATCAATCACAATAATGCTAGTAGCAGGTGAATGTAATACTTCATCACCACACACTCGTGAGAAGGAAGTATCTATAATACATTTACTTGATAACTTTGCATAGTACATCATGTTATCAAGAAAATGGCGATGCCCACGTCGTGCTGCAAAACTGTACATTTCGCTAAGAATATCTTAAAAGAACAATAATTATTTCATGGGGTGAGGTTTCCTTTAATGTGGCATATGCAATTAGATGACTGTAATAAATTACGTAAAATAACCCACGTCTTCTTTGCAAGAGATCAAAAGTTATTTCAGATTTATAGTCCAATTAATTCAACCTCAAAGGCACATTTATTTTATGTCTAGATTTCATTCATGCATCAGATCTCCGGAGAGAAACTGCATAAATTGAAATTCATGAGTAAACAAGTCTCTTACTTCAGTCACCTTGGTGGCTTGGAACGTTGCATCTCTAGAATCAAGGTGTTTCAATCATTTGATTATACATATCCTTCTAATGTGCTAGATGTTTGCTTTTAAGATGGTTAGTTGGGACTCATTAACAGTACCTCCATTGTGAGGCACCATTCAGAGTAACTCAAAAAGTGTGTGTACAACATGAATAACATATGCCCTGCTAAAATCTCTTATTTCAAAATTTGGATAAAAATAATTTGATACAGTTTTTAAAGATGAAGTTGAGTTCTGGTCATGCGATTGCATTGTGAAAGAAACGGTGTGGAACCGACCAGAAAAGGTTGATCATCTAGCATATAAGAATTTGTGTGTATTGCAAGGTTCTGGAATCATCAAAATGATAAGAAATTTGGCCAAGTCTTGGTAAAGTTACAAACACTGTACACAGAAAGATGTATATGGGACTACACGAACACGTGGGGTAAAAAGCCGGCTCCCCCCCCCCCGCCCCGATTTTTACGATGTTACATGCATATTTAGAATATGAAGGCATTTGAAGAGCCGAGCTTTTCAGGGAACATGTCTTATCTGATGTTCTTCCACACTTGCTTAATAAGAATGAGTAATGCTCACAAATTATTTTTCACCTCTTCCCAGAACTCAACCTTCTCTTTAAACTGTAAATTTAATCAAGACTTAATGAATTCAGTAATCATCAAACTCAGACAAGTGTGACATTATTCTTAACTTCTACACCATAGTGACATATACTACCAGTAATACATATATATCTGGATGAGGACATGTCATTCCCCAGCTGTATTTCCCAATATATGATTTGATTGAGTGAGTGTCTTGCATAGGACGCTGCATGTAGATCATCACTCGTTAATGCACTCTGTGAGATGAAAAGGTCTCAGGTGCACGCCAAGAATTCATCTCATTACTTCATTTCACTTACCATCTACAATGAGTCTGGTACTGAGGATTCCTTATAAATTAAAGGTATCTACATCATAAACAATTTTAACAAACTAATCACATAAGAAGTCTACAATTTAATCCCAGATACACAATGTATTGGGAAATCTAATTCTAGAAATAAATTTAGATTGCTGAGCATAATTTCTCAGAAAATAAGTCAAAAGAAAAAAGAGAAAAGGTCTGCACATACCATGTAGTGACAATACAATGTGAAGTACTACAAGGACTGTATAACA